AGCGCCCCGACCTACCTCCTGCAGGGGCGCGAAAGCCTGCCGTCCCCTCGGCGTTGCAGATCCGTGGTCCCGCTCTGCGAGGGCGCGGCGTAGGGCGCAGGGCGCGATAGCCCGTCCCCGCCCCTGCGCGCGACGCAGGCGCATCCGCGGCGGGGGCTGGCAGACAGTGTTAGTGGCGACATGTCCGCGGGATCCGGGTTTTGGTCGCGGCTGCTGGGCGGCGCGGCGCCTGGCGCTGCTGCCCGGGCGGTGAGTCGGCGCCGCAGGACGGGGCGCGGAGCCGGAGGCGGCGGCGGCAGGGGCAGACGGGACGGTCCCTAGTGGTGCGGGCGGAAACTGTACGCCGGGTTCCCCGCGGCCCCCGGCCCCTGGGGCCGGGCTCGCGAACGGCCTCGGCGGGGCTGCCGGGCTTGCGCGTGTGAAGGGTTCGAACGACCGTCCGGCGCCCGGTCGAGGGGCTGGGGCCAGGAGGGCGCGGGCCTGAGGCGGCACCTGCCTCGCCCTGTGGTGGCGTGGGCCGGGAAGGGAGCCGGTGCTCTGCCCAAGGTCAACCGCGGGTAACCCGGCTGGAGTGCGCAGGGCTGGGGCGCCGGCCTTCCGGGCCGCGCGGGCGACCTGGGAGCGATGGAGCGGGTGGCCGGCCGGGCCCTTCCGCTCCTGAGCTTGGCGATGAAAGCGCAGGACTGCGCGGGTGCCGCACCCAGGCCTCGCAGGGCAAGTGCCCCTTTGTTTTGGGAGTTTTGTGGCGGTGGCCTTGCTGCACAGTTTTTAAAAATCAGATGGAGAATTTGGCCACACTGACCGGGCGGGTGGCGCCAGGACCTGTGTTTTCTGTGCAGTGTGGGACAGCGGACGTGGAGGGGATGCAGACTGGGCTCTCCCTGTGCTGCTCGGAATTAGTGGAGGGATGATGGTCGGGGTTTTGCGTTTCCTGAGCCCTTGCGGGTTTGAGCATGCGTAAGGCGACATTCTCCACAATGACCTCTGCACAATCGACCTTTGAGGTTTTATATTAATAAAGCCAAGTTTCCAAGGTTTACTTCTTTAATTCTTTTAAATGAACTCGCCCTCACCCAGCCCAGCACTTAATAACTTAATTACAAAGTAAATCTCAGGGAGGAACTAAGGCATACAACAATACTCATTTGATTATGCTTTGCTAATTGTGACTGCAGTTTTCTCCTATCTTGAAATATGTAGTTGTTAAAATTTGTTGAGCTAAACGTTGAGGCGTAGTCATAGAGCCATCCTGTCTAACACCATAAAGCCATTTTAAATGCTTTTAATATGTTTGCGTGTGCGGTTGGCTGGTTTGCTGAGGCCTGAGATCCAGGGCCCCGCGCCCTCCCTTAAGAAGGCTGCTTAGAGGGGAGTCCACAAACAGGGAAGTCAAGTCGCCTGGGTCAGGTGGGACTTTGTTGGATGGGAAGTGCTAGATTGGTGAATTTATGGCTGGAGAAGAGTTAGTATGTATTGTCCTTCACCTTCCCAGGTACTGCCCAGTGTTCCTGTCTTGTAGACTACGACCCTTGCCGGCTACAAAACGGCCTTCATCCGCTTTTTCCGCCAAATCTTTGTGATTCATCAGCTGTAAAACATGTGTTGTCCCTTTTTTTCCCCCGTGTAGATTAGAAGAATTCCAGCCCTCAGGAGCAAGAATAGAGTTCTGGCACAACAATGTAAGCGGAGGTGTAAACTGTTCTTTCCTAGATGCGTTGAATTAGAGGTAATCTCTTTCAGGTTAATTGAATCGCTTTTAGCTTGCCAGCCATAACATGTGTGGGCTCATCTCTGTAATCTTCACGACCCTGTGATGTAGTACTTGTAAAAAAAGGAAGGTGGGTGATGGGATAGCAAAATAACCAGCGATGTTAGCCTACCTAGAGGATGGGTCTTCAGTCTTTTTAAGTACTTTTTATCTTGCATGAAAGCTACAGAAGTTAATTTTGCTCCCAAGCATATATTTATTGGCATTTCTGAGAGGCTCTTTTTCCCCAAAGAAATTGGCGTTTAAAAAAGAACGAAGAGAATCCAAATTAGCGGAAAAAGGGAAAAACATTTTGTGATAAGCCAACTGGAGAAATGTCCTTGTTAAAGATGCGATGCTATAGGATAATTTTCAGTAAAGTCCACAAATATTTTTTCGTTCTTTATATCATTTTCGGTCAATTTCTGTAGAGGTTTTCAGTTCATGCTGTATTTGACGGCTGGCTTTCAAGTTACAAGCCTTCCTTTTTTTTTTTTTTTATTTTTTCGTGCGGACGGAGGTTCTAGGGCCCCAAGAGAGAGGGGCCCTGAAGTCGCCCATAAGCTTCCTTTTTGTGGTCCCAGTGCACTTACACAGTTTGGCAACTGTTCTAAAGCAGTTTAATGCAAGGAAAAGTAAACCCAAGAACCTTAAGTAATTGTTCGGTTAACTGCTCACTTCAGTGAGAGATTTTTCAAGCCCCTGTACCGTGAATATCCAAAATATTGTTCTAGGATAAATCATTTCTTTGAATGGATTGGTTCTGAGTATGTTTAATGGCATATCTGAAGCAGCATTATTTAGGCGGATTATAGTGGTACTTGTTTCTGCTTCTTTGGGATGATATATAATAACAATGACCTTTTAGTTCTGCATTCTTGTGTAATGTTTTCCTGTTCATTTGAAACTGTGACCTGATTCTCTGATATTAACCTGCGATATTAATTCTTTGTAGTTTGGGAGTTATAGATTTTTCTCAAGTATCTTTAGATAGTGGGAAAGTCCAGGGATGTTAAGTAACATTTGAAACCTTTCCAGTGGCCATTCTTCCGGACCAGTCATAACGTTCGTTGATAATCGTCCGTGAACATGTATTTTAAGCATCACGTATTTTAAAAATAATAAACATGAAATTTTTTTTTTTTTTTTTTGAGACAGAGTCTCACTCTGGCTTGCTCTCTCTTCCCAGTGCTTAGAGTTTGGTGTTGAGTCGTGGCGTCAGCCTAGCTCACTTCCGGAACCTAAACTCCTGGCCTTCACCAAAAAAAGCTATTCCTTCTGCTTCATGCTCCTCTCCTTCATATGTAGCTGGTGACTACAGGCATGTGCCCACCATGCCAGGCTATATCTTTCTATATATGAAGTTTGGCCAATATTCTTTCTAGTTTATAGTATACGATCGGTTTGTTTCCTTCTTGCTCAGGCTGGTTTTCAAACTTCTCTGACTTCCCCAGCAATCCGCCCGCCTCGGCCTCCTCTCCAGAGGAGCTAGGATTACAGGCGTGGAGCCACCGTCGCCGCCTACATGAAAATTTTTAATGAAAAAATTACACATAGAAGGCCTTGTAAATGAAGAGGAATAGACCACCCTCCATTCCTCAGTAGAGCCATTCCCAGTAGAAGCCCATTCCCAGTAGAAGCCATGCTGAGCTGTTTCTGATACTGGTCCCTGCGTATTTTAAGGCCCTTTCTTTAGCTGCTATGCTGTTGCATTTTTATTATTTTTGGACATCAACTTCTTGCCCGGCAGGAGGGGGATTATTATAGTTCTTAAACCACCCTACTTCCCTTTTGTCTCCCAGTATAGTTATGAATCCATTTAAGGCCTTTATTAGCTGCTTTTCAATTGTATAGATTGTACCTAACATTAATTTCTTGTTCATGTTTTATAGGTGTATTTTATTAGATGAGGACTCCCCATGTTGCTGGAGTGAGGATATTAGTATCTCTACCCTTCACTTTTTCTCCCTTCTACTTCCTAATTAAGTCATCTGAACTTGTATGTTATTAAACAAGGTCTAGGTATTAATGTTAGGTAGATTTCCTCATTCTTTTTCTTCTTTTTTTTCCCTGAGACAGAGTCTCACTCTGTTGCCCGGGCTAGAGTGCCGTGGTGTCAGCCTAGCTCACAGCAACCTCAAACTCCTGGGTTCAAACAAACCTCCTGCCTCAGCCTTCCTGAGTAGCTGGGACGACAGGCATGCGTCACCATGGCCAGCTAATTTTTTCTATGTATTTTTAGTTGTCCAGCTAATTTCTATTTTTAGCAGAGACGGGGGCTCGCTCTTGCTCAAGCTGGTCTCACACTCCTGACCTCGAGCAATCCTCCTGCCTCAGCCTCTGAGTGTTAGAGTTACAGGTGTGGAGCCACCATGCCCAGCCTCTGACCTTGAGCAATCCGCCCACCTCAGCCTCCCAGAGTGGTAGGATTACAGGTGTGAGCCACTGCCAGCCAGAAAGGAATTTTTTGAGCAAAGAAAAAGATCAGAATTCAGTCCTCACCAGGCTGATCTCAAACTCCTGGCCTCAAGCATTCTTCTTGCCTTGGACTCCCAAAGTGCTAGGATTAGAGGTGTGGAACACACCCAGCCACAGCTGGTGTTTTCATACTTTCCTCCCGCCCACTCTTCTGACTGCTCAGAAGACCCCTTCACTTTGTCTCTCCCTGTTAAAGTGCTGCCCATTCTTCAAAACCTAGCTCATGAGACATTGTGTCTAGTGTGAGCTGCATAATTTTACGTATGAATAATTATATATTTTTATATACAACTGTATTAACAGAATTCTCCGGAGAAACAGAACCAGTAGAGGGAGGAGAGAGAGAGATTATAAAGAACTGGGTTAAGAATTCAAATGCTAGTCTCATCCAGAGACATCCTCCTAGACTCACCCAGAAATAATGTTTATGCAAATATCTGAGCGCCCCATGGTGCAGTCACGTTGATGTGTAAAATTAACCATCACAACAACTATACATTTAAGCATGTTTACACTGGAGAACTTACCTCATTGTACCTGTTTTTCAGTTATTTGAGACAGGTCTTTCCCCCACCAGATTGTACGTTGCTCTCATCTAAGGTCTTGTTTTTGCTTTCCTTGAATCCCATAGGGCTCAGTGCTGTGCAGCACATGAATAGAACTGAAAAACTTTCTTGAATAAAAATAGTGATTCATATGATCCATGTAGATGATGTGATTGTGACAAATATGTTTTATTCCTTTTATGGTTAATGTGTTTGTCCTTTATTTCAAGGTATATCTCTATGAATGACTTAAATGATCCTCCAAATTGGAATATCCGACCTAATTCCAGGGCTGATGGCGGTGATGGAAGCAGGTGGAATTATGCCCTATTGGTTCCAATGCTGGGATTGGCGGCTTTTCGTAAGTCATGGTTTTCCTAACATTTGTGGTTTTGGGCCTGAAAGTGTGAAGCCCTGCTGGGGGAAGCAGCGAGGTGTGGGAGCCTGAAGACCATGGCTTTGGGATCTGACAGGTATAGCCTAGTTTTATCCCATATAGTGAGTCTGGGCAAATTTCTTAACCTTTCTGAGTCTCAGTTTACCTGTTCATGGGAGGTGATTAATCATACCTCAACACATTGTGAGGACTAAATAAAACAAAGAAAGTATTTAGAAGCATTTTGTGTGGAGTGGATTTTAATAACTGTTAGCTCCTTGTCAAGGCTTCACTGCTCTGAAGGGGAAGTCTTTTGCTGGCTTCAGTTGCCCTCATGAGTACTGATGGGGGAAAATAGGCATAAAGAAAACCAGTTTGATGCTGGGCGTGGTGGCTAATGTCTGTCATCCTAGCACTTTGGGAGGCCAAGGTGGGAGGATCGCTTGAGGCCAGGAGTTTGAGACCAGCCTGGGCAACATAGCAAGACCTTTCCTTCACAAAAAAATAGAAAAATTAGCTAGGTGTGGTGGTATGAACCTACGCTCCCAGCTATCTAGGAGGCTAAGGTGGGAGGGTTGCTATTGCCCAGGAGTTTGAGATTACACCCCTGCACTGCAGCCAGAGCAACAGAGTGAGATCCTACCTCAAAAAAAAAAAGAAAAGAAAGAAAGAATATCAGTTTGGATATATGTTTAATGATTAGGAAATCAGTCTTTGAGAGACTTTATCCAATGAAATCTCTGCTCAACTTGGCCAGAAATTCTCTCCAGTTTGAATTGACTTTGCATTGCTTTGGGGATCAGTCACATGATCAATTCGCTGGTGCTGAGGAATTAGTTTTGCATTTCTTCACATACTGTGGTTCTGGATTGGCACTTAAGAATATGAGAACTTGAGGCTGGGTGCGGTGGCTCACGCCTGTAATCCTAGCACTCTGGGAGGCCGAGGCGGGCAGATTGCTCAAGGTCAGGAGTTCAAAACCAGCCTGAGCAAGAGCGAGACCCCGTCTCTACTATAAATAGAAAGAAATTAATTGCCAACTAAAAAATATATAGAAAAAATTACCGGGCGTGGTGGCGCATCCTGTAGTCCCAGCTACTCGGGAGGCTGAGGCAGGAGGATTGCTTGAGCCCAGAAGTTGGAGGTTGCTGTGAGCTAGGCTGACATCACGCACTCTGGCCTGGGCAACAAAGGGAGACTCTGTCTCAAAAAAAAAAAAAAGAATATGAGAACTTGAATGGAAGAAAAGGCAAAAACTGCCCTCTATTTGTAGTGAGATTTTTGTCTCAAATAAATAAATAGTCTCACTCTGTTGCCCATGTGGCATGATAATAGCTCACTGCAACCTCAAACTCCTGGGACAAGCAATCTTCCCACCTGATCTTCCGAACACTGGGACTTACAGGCGTGCGCCACCACATCAGGCTAATTTTTAAATTTTTTGTAGAGACAGGGTCTCCCTCTGTTGCCCAGGTTGGCCTCAAACTCCTGGCCTCAGGTGATCCTCCTGCCCCAGCCTCCCAAAGTGCTGGGATTACAGGTGTGAACCTCTCTCCCCAGCCTAATTGTAGTGATATTTTTTATATAGTGGCTTTTTATGTGCCTGGATTTGTCACATCAACACATTTACTATTATAGGAAGTAGAGACTGATCAGAGTAGGTGGTATTTATAATACAGTGATCTACAAAGTCTGCTTCTTGGTGAAAGATTGGTGGGTCCAGATCCATCCCTAGGGGGTTGCGGTTCAAGAGCTCATCAGCCTGCAGTCTTGAAGAACACCACTTGACAAGTGGGAAGACTGCCTTGCCTGTGGCTAGGGTGATAGATAACCTTCCACATTAGCGAGTAGATTTGGAGGCTTAAAATTACTCTTACTCTGGGAGGCCGAGGCGGGTGGATTGCTGGAGGTCAAGAGTTCAAGACCAGCCTGAGCAAGAGTGAGACCCCGTCTCTACTAAAAATAGAAAAAAATTAATTGGCCAACTAATATATATAGAAAAAATTAGCCGCATGGTGGCACATGCCTGTAGTCCCAGCTACTCGGAAGGCTGAGGCACAAGGATTGCTTGAGCCCAGGAGTTTGAGGTTGCTGTGAGCTAGGCTGATGCCACGGCACTCACTCAAGCCTGGGCAACAAAGCAAGACTCTGTCTCAAAAAAAAAAAAGAATAACTCTGTCTCAAAAAAATTAATTAATTAATTAATTAAAATAAAATTACTCTTACTGATGTAATGATTAATTGGCTTTGAGGCTGGGAGAGGCCCTGAAGTTATGTTCATGTTTCATTTGGTTTTCAGACTCATCTCTATCTTGTATAGCCTTTCATAATAATTTCACTTTTGAAATTCCTGCCTTACCTTCTTGGACTTTGAAAACAATGCTTTCTGTCCCTGAGAAGGGTTGAGGAATATTTTTCCTTCTTGGCTTTTTTTTGCTGAGGTAGTGTGATAGAGATAACTTTGCATTCTTATAAGGATCCTCCAAAAATATTAGTAAATGTTTCAGAAGTTATACTGTAACATATGAGTATTAATCAGCCCCCAGCATAGTGTAGAAGTAAAGGCAGATACATGAATGTTTCATAAACACTACTGATTGATTTATTGATGAGAGGCTAGGCTAATTATAACAGAGCCACCCCTTTTTAGAGTCTCCCTCCTTCTGCCCCACTCCTCTCAGCCCCACCCCTAATATTGCCACACCTCCACCAGGATGATATCGAATATAACTATTCTATTACCTTTCTTAAAAGTCTTTCCTAACTCCTTGTGGCTGCAGAGTAAATGCATGTTCCTCGTCAGAGTCTATAAGGGCTTCTCTCACTTGGCCCTGTGGCTTTTCCATTGCCATCCCCAGCTCCTCCTTGATGTCAGCCCCATGCTCCTAGCACATCCGACTCCTGGGATCCCTCTGCTCTTGGAATGTGTGCCCTGTTCCTTCTACTTACAGTGACTTTTCCTACCAACTCCTACTCAGCCTTCCATACTTGTTTCATTCGCCTCTTTTATGAAGCCTTTCTTGACTCCCCCAAAGCCGGATGAGCCCTCCCCTCCTATTTCCTCATGTACCTTTTGCAAACCCCTGACTGCTTATCAAATTACATTATAACTGCTGCTTTCCTGGTTGGGTTCCCTGCCTGTGAACTCTCTGGCAAAGGGAGAGGATAAAGATGACGTGCTTTTTGAGTGTGAGTTGTTAACTGAAATAGGACTAGAAGCTATTTTTAGTTGGGGAAGGATGAGTTTGGTTTTAAGTTTGTGGAATTGAGGTGGCAACAGCATATCCAAATAGAAATGGCTTCCAAGTTTATGTGAATGTTGCAGTAGTGGGCTTGTCCCCACGAAGGTGATTATTGGTGCCACAGATTATTAGTGGGAAAAAATTGAATTTGGGGGAGTGGCAGTGAGGGAAGAGAGCCATTGAAGTTGATGGGAGCCCCAGGGGTTTCAGAAGTGGGTGTGGACAGGGAAGTAAAGAAAGTGGGTAGATGGCTTATCGGACAGAAATGAATGAAAGAACCCACTGCTGGGCCTTGGGCTTTGAAAATTTACTGAATAGACCTTCTGTTTTCCAGGGGACTCAAATCCATGCTGCTTTTAGGATATACTGGCTAAACACATCATCATTTTGAAAATCTAGGACTCGGTATATAGTCACCCCAGCATATATTAAATTATTGAGCAGTAGCATCAGTTCAGCATGTGGGTGAAAGTATCACCACACTGTCTTTTATTTTATTGTTGAAACACACCACACTCTTGCTATTAATGGGATTGGGAAAGCGTTGGTGACTCCATCCAGAGCCAGGGGGTGGCCAGGGTGCCTGCTGGCCTTGTGTGTCACCCCATCCTGGAGGCACTGGATTTCTCTGAGGGGGAGGCTGAGTCCTGGCCGCTTCTCAGCATGGGGGCAAAGCAGGGTGGCGTCTACCTTAGCCTCCCCTCTCCCCATCCCATGTTTATAAGATACCATGGTCTCCAGTTTTGTAAAGGGAGCCACACTATGTCTTTAGGCTGAACTTTTTTTTTTTTTTTTTTTTTGAGACAGAATCTCACTCTTTGCCCGGGCTAGAGTGAGTGCCCTGGTGTCAGCCTAGCTCACATCGACCTCAAACTCCTGGGCTCAAGCAATCCTCCTGCCTAAGCCTCCCAAGTAGCTGGGACTACAGGCATGTGCCACCACGCCCGGCTAATTTTTTCTATATATTTTTAGTTGTCCAGCTAATTTCTTTCTATTTTTAATAGAGATGGAGTCTCGCTCTTACTCAGGCTGGTTTCAAACTCCTGACCTCGAGCAATCCGCCCGCCTTGTCCTCCCAGAGTGCTAGGATTACAGGCGTGAGCCACCACGCCCGGCCTTAAGCACAACTTTTATAAGAACCTGGCCAAAGATATTTGAAGCCTACCCAAATTTTTGAAATTTTGCCCATGGTGCCTGAAGGCACTGTGACCAGAGTAGGCAGATGGTGGTAGGTTTCAGAGGAAAAAAACAGTGGTAAATTCTCCCCACAAAGGAATGTTAGAAGAATGGGAGGGGAACTTTCTATCTACAGCCTTGCCTTGCTTATCTTTGGGGTACCCAGCTCTTATCTGATTTTAAAATAGGCATTTTGCCTATTATATATTTTCTGTATATCCATTTATATATTACATATTTTCTATATATTCCTCCTATATATTCATGGATGGCTATACCACATCCATTTCTATTTGGATGTGCTGTTGCCACCTCAGTTCCACAAGCATAAAACCAAACTCATCCTTCATACAAAATGTTGTCTTCTTAGGACCTTGGAAGTCTTAAGCTTTATTGAAATGCTATCCTTAGCTGCTTTACGTTTTCCTTTTTTAGAGACAGGGTCTCATTCTGTCACCCAGGCTAGAGTGTAGTTATGTCATCATAGCTCACTGTAACTTCAAACTCCTGGGTTCCACTGATCTTCCTGCCTGCAGGCATGTACCACTACACTCAGCTAATTTTATTTTTTGTAGAGAATCTGTCTCACTATGTTGCAAGGCTGGTCTCGAACTCCTGGCCTCAAGCAGGCTTCCCAAGCTGCTAGGATTACATGCATGAGCCACTGCACCTGGCTTTTTGTTTTATTTAAGTAAAGATTCTAGAACTTCAGCTCTAACTGTTCATTTTGTGTATTTTTCTCCCCCAATTTATTCATGTCAGGTTGGATTTGGTCTAGGGAGTCCAAGAAAGAAATAGAAAAAGAGAGAGAAGCATACCTTCAGAGAACTACTGCTTTCCAGAAGGATCTTGAAGCCAAGTACCATGCTATGATCTCAGAAAATCGGCGTGCTGTTGCTCAGTTGTCTTTGGAACTTGAAAAGGAACAAAACAGAACAGCTAGTTATCGAGAAGCCCTTATCTCTCAGGGGCGCAAGTTGGTAGAAGAAAAGAAGCTTCTGGAACAGGAACGGGCCCGGGTGATGCAAGAGAAAAGGCAGTTACAGCCTCTGAAAGCTGTGTATCTGAGCTGCCTGGAAAAGGAGGACGACTGGCAAAGGAGAGCCAAGCTCTTGCTGAAAGAGTTTGAAGATGCTCTTACCAAAAGGCAGGGTATCTACTGTAGTCTGTTTCTCTCTCGCCACAAGCGGCTGGAATTAGAGAACAACTTGCTGGTGCGAGCATCTGTTGACCCAGTCGCTGCTGACCTAGAGATGGTGACTGGCTTAGTTGACATATTTAAGCATGATACATATTGTGGTGATGTCTGGAACACCAACAAATGCCAAAATGGGAGACTCATGTGGGTGTACCTCAAATATTGGGAACTAATTGTCGAACTGAAAAAGTTCAAGAGAATAGAGAAGGCCATACTAGAAAAGTAAGACAAGAGTGAGATGAAACTTCTTTTCCTGCCTCAAGGCCTGCTGTCATCGTCGTGCATTGTGGGCATCCCGTGTTTTCCGTTCAGTGCTCGCTGTGTTGTGACCTCCACTCCCGCCACGCTCTGTGAGCAGAAGCACCGCAAGGCCTCAGAGACAGCATGTTTCCTCCTCCATCCTCTGCAACTGTACAGATACAGTTTCCCTGAAGCGTTTTTTAAGCTACTGGTATTTTATTAAGCAGTATAGTATAATCTCATATTTTAGCTCTAGGGTAAAAATGGGTTTTTTAAAAAGTCAAAAACAAGGCTGCGTGAGGTGGCTCACACCTGTAATCCTGGCACTCTGGGAGTCCAAGGCGGGAGGATTGCTTGAGGTCAGGAGTTCAAGACCTTCCTGAGCAAGAGCTAGACCCTCTCTTCTAAAAATAGAAAAAATTAGCTAGGTGCAGTGTGGGTGCCTGTAATGCCAGCTATTTGGGAGGCTGAGGCAGGAGGATTATTTGAGCCCAGGAGTTTGAGGTTGCAGTGTGCTATGATGACGCCATTGCACTCTTGCTGGAGAGTAACAGAGTAAGACTGTCGCAAAAAACAGTCAAATACAATGCTGATCTTCACCATAAGCAATTTGCTGTCTATTTTTATCAGAATTTATCCCTAAATAAATTCTGTTTTCTCCTCAAATTGTTTTTTTCTCTCCCCAAATTACATTTATAAGTTGTTAGGTAATGTGTAGCACTCTTAGCAGGTGATAATAGAAAGTAGTAATATATTATCAAAGATTCGTGTTTTAAGAATCTCTCTCACTCCAGAAATTGGGGGCGGGAGGGAATGATACCCCAGTGTGTGTGGAATTTGGCTATGTCTGTATTCAGTAAGCAGATATTATTTATTAGTAATGATACATAATCAGAAATGCTTACAATTTGTAAGTAATAATGCCACTTTTTATTTGTGTAATTCTTTACTCTTCACAAAGTGTTTTTACATATATTATCTCAATTTTTACCACAACCTAAAAGGTAGACAGGCATTTATTACAAACTCCTTTTTACACATAGATAATATGAACTGAGCCTTTATACATATTCACTCATGTTATCATGGCTCCAGTTACGAAGTAAATATTGCTGTTCTTCTCTGCATGTGGGGGTCCAAAAAACCACCCCCCAATTCCATGACCTGCCGAGGGATCCCACAGGACTCAGCATAGAGTCGCACAGCTAAGATGTGTTACAGGAAAGGACACAGCAAAACCAGCAAAGGGAGAAGATGGAGGGAGTGAAGTCCAGAGGAAACCGGGCGGGATTGTCCCAGAGTCCCTCCCAGTGGGGTCACACAGGACACGCTAAGCGCAAGAACAGGCTGTGGCAACACGTGGAATAGCCACCAAGGTCACTCACTGGAGACTCAGCACACAGGGCTTTTATTGAGGGCTGGTCACATGGCACCCTTTGCATGGCCCGTGCCGACGTCCCAGGCTCCCGGAGGAGAGCAGGGGTGGGTATGATCCGCTGTTTGCACAGTTCAGGCATTCTGAGCCACTGCAACAAGTTGATGGAGCTGGGAACTCTCCCGAAATCCAAGTTCCCAGATGCTAGCCAAGGGCCAACCTTATAAACAGGGCTTTGAAAGGACACAGCCTCAGGGCTGCTGTGTGAATTCTCCACACATCTCATTTTACAGATCAGAGAACTGGAACTGAGGGAAGAGTTAACCTCCAACAGGTAGCACTGTTGGAGGCAGCATGCACCTAGGCACTTTTGGGCTCTAGAACCACTGGTAACCTACACACAATTACTTGACAGTGGCCAAGGGGGAGTGGGAGCAAAGTCATCCATCCACTTTCCGATGCTGCACTCTTCACCCCGCCTCTGTCTTCCCATATAGGAGTAAAACTAGCTGTTAGGAATGCTACTCGTATAGAAAATTTGGGTGCAGAAGCTGTGGTGTGTGCTGCAGTCAGAGCAGCTGCTGCTGCCTCTAGAGCTACTGCACTGAGTACATATTACAGACTGAGCCTTGTGTGATTTATGTTTATATGTTATTTTAAATCCTCAGGACCATCTTAGGGATGAGGAAGCAGACTCAGAGAACCAAAGGAAGTTGAAGTGGACCATGGCCCTTGGCTCTGGGCTCTCTGCTCTTAGCCCCATGCCCTGCTCAGGACAGCTGGATGCTTTCTTCAGTGGCTACTTATAATATCTTTCTGCTATGTTGCTATCACTTGATCTGAGAGAGAAACCATTTTTTAGGTAAATCTGGTCTAAAAAGTTTCCTCTAGTTATTTGTATTTGCTGGTGCATCACACCCTTGCCTAAAGAGCGCTGCAGGTTCTAGTTCCTGTTACTATACTGACTTGCTGTTTGTCCCTGGATTAAACACTTAGTGCTTTTTTCTTGTGTTTGTCTTTAAATGAAGAAAATACGATCAGTTATTCTGCAGCTGAATTTCAAGGTGAATGATTTTCAGGGTGAATTTTTAATCTTTCTCATATTTTCTTACGACCAACATGTTCTCAGCCTAGCTTCCTTAAACACTGAGATAAGTATGTTCAGATTGTTCAAATCAATTTAGGCACTGGCTTAGTACTACAGGAGTGGCATTAAGACCTGCTTGTATTTTTGTTGGCAAGTCTGAATGTTAATATGATGCTATCCTTAAAATTTATTAGCTTAGGTTTGAAATAGTGTCACAGTGTGGCCATTTGATGACTTCACAGATGAACTAAAAGATAACTGGATAAAGTGAGATTATAGTGGAACGCTATTTAACCAAAATGGTTTAAAGTTGCAAAAAAGAATAGGAGCCCAAGTGCTGAGTGATGCGTGTGCAGAATGTGTAGTAACTTTAGAGCAAAGCATCATTTGTCCTGGCTGCTTTCTTGGCGGTCACAGTGACTATAAAACCTTAAGCCACCAAGGCGGGAGGACCCTCTAGGTTAAGGAGCCTGAGCTCTAGGAGATCCTGGGTGGAGGCGAAGCCGGGTTATGGGAGAAGTCACCGTCACCCTCAGCAGCCATCGAGAGTGGACTACTGTGGCGAGAAAAGGAGCTGTCGCTTTGCATTCTTTGTTTTTGATTGATTTGGGGAGAGCCAATTATTGTGCATGAGGGTGCAGTGGCTTAGAAAGGAAGGATTTTGGGGATGGTGTTCAGATTGTGCTTCAGACTGCTCTCCTTTGGGATGAAGTCGGAAGGCAGAGCGATTGACCTGGACATTCCAAACAAGAAGCAGGCGGCACTTCTCTGTGTTACTCTAGTCAGCTCATTTAAAGATGTGCTTTTTTCCTCCTTTGTTAAAGTTCATAGATACAGATATATAATTATATATATTTCATATGTGTGCACATGTGTATGTATGTGTATAAAATGGAAGACACACACTGATTTCACAATGACAAAATAATTCTGCAAATGTTGCACTAGTGATGGGATGTTTTGGCAGGGAAAATAACCTCACCAGAGAAACTGTGTGTTCTTTAAAATATTAATAGAAGCTATGTCCAATTAAAGTGTGGAACTCGCTATTTCTGTGTTGGACTTTTAAAAAAGTGATTGCTTAATAATGTACTGAGATCATCTCTTTAAGGAGAAGAGAGAAAAAGGCTTTCTAGTTAACTTTCACTTCTTAGTTCCCCTACGTAAAAGCAAATCTATGTAATAAACATACATGAACGTGCAGAGAGTAAGCTGTGATGCGTGTTGCAGTCATAGCAGCTGCTGCCTCCTCTAGGTGTCTTGTCCTTGCACGAGGACAGCCCCGTGCTGTGGTGGGAAAGGAGCCAGGGTGTCTGGGGAGGCGAGATGCAGGGCTATGACAGCGCAGTTTGCTGCACAGACAGCTGGCTCCCTTCGTCTGCCTGGAGCCGTGTAACTGAGCTGAGTTTGTGGTTTGGTGCCAGAAGTGCTCCTCTCTCTATTCTAGGTTTGACAAAATAATTGCTGTCTTTCTCAGGGTTCTGGTTGCAAGCAAGAAAGATCAGTTCAAACTAACTTAGTTAAAAGGGGGATTTAAGGCTATCTCACAGAACTTCAAGGCAAGAACGCAGGACAGACTTCATAGGAGAACCCAAAATGGCACACAAGGTCCTGTCAGAAACCTGGGAGTGACTGTCCTCCTCACATCTCTACCTGCCTGCTTCAGTCTCTCCCTGCAAACCGATTGTCTGGCCACATGGTGGGGAAATGGCCACACCCCACAGCTCCTGAGCGTTTGTCTTGTTGGTCCTGCTTCAGTGATCAGCAAAATTTGGGAAGCACTGGGTTATGCAGTGCTGTGGCCTGAGGGACTGGGGACTGTGAAAGTCGGGGATTGCAGAGTGTGGGGCTTGTGTTAACTTCATAGGAAATCTTGAAAAGAGAAAGCAAAGGTTCCAGTAAGCCAGCCGTTGATCCCTTCAGGATTGGGCCAACAGGTGCAGCACGTGCACAGGGGTGAGGCCCACGTGGGCCGTCTCAGGATTGCTCAGAGAGAGATATGTCCCCCCTCTCAACTTTATAGGAATAGGCTTTGGGCCCAGGAAGGGCTTTGGGCCCTGGTGGAAGGCAAGTGTCCAAAACGTTTGCCATCAGCGTCTCCCACCTTCACACCAGCCGACTCCTGAGTGCCGCCTCTGCCCCAAATCCCAGGTCACTGGTCATGCAGCACCCCTAAGCCGTTCTCTACCACACCTGGCTGGCCACTGGGTACCTGGTTAAAATGATGCCCAGATCCAGGCTTTCATCAGGGAAATTCACAGACAGAACCATGGAAGCCACTCTGCTCCTCGGAGTTAGAATAAAATCATTTAAACTTTGGCACTGTGCCCAGGACCTTTCCGAGTGCTTGATGCTGTCACAAACCCCGGCAAGACCGCCAGCATGGTACGGCAGAGATGTTGCCTAGGAAGCAGAGAGCAGGAGGGGGGTAGAGGAAGCAGAGGATGGTGTGCAGAGGGGAAGGTGCCATTTCCCTGCCCACTCAGCCGGTGGCTCATCCCGGAGATCCAGGGCGAAGGTTCCTGCCATCCTCACTGGCAGAGCCTGGGAGGCTTCTCCTGCTGGACACACAAACCTCCTCCAACGTGCAGAGAATACCCAGGGAAGGACACACCTGGGGGGAGGTGACATGGAACTTCCTGGGATGAAGACACACCTGGGGAGGGGAAAGAGGGATACCACGGATGGAGGCACACCTGGGGAGGGAGGCACACCTTGGGTTGAGTTGACATGGGGACACCTGGGATGGAGGCACACCTTGGGGGAGGTAACATGGAGGTACCTGAGATGGAGGCACACCTGGGGGGAGGTGACATGGGGACACCTGGGATGGAAGCACACCTGGGGGGGAGATGACACGGGGGTATCTGGGGTGGACGCACACCTGGGGGAGGTGACACGGCGACACCTGGGTGGAGACACACCTGGCAGGAGGTGACATGGGGGCATCTGGGATGGAGATACACCTGGGGGGAGGTGACATGGGGGCACCTGGGTGGAGGCACACCTGGGGGGAAGGTGACAGGAGCACCTGGGGGGAGACACACCTGGGGATGGGACATGGAACACCTGGGTGGAAGCACACCTGGGGGGTGACAGGGGCACCTGGGTGGAGATACACCTGGGGGAGGTGACATGGGGGCACTTGTGATGGAGGCACATCTGGGAAGGGGGTGACAGGGGGCACCTGGGTGGAGGTACACCAGGATCGGCTTGGCATGGAGTGGCACTACACAGTGCAGGTGTGAACACACTCTGTAATTCATATCCGTGGGGAGTGGTCCTGGTTCAGCACCTAAGCACTCACCTCTGTCTTGAGAATAGGTTTTACTTTTAAACTCTTATCTGAATCATATTGAAATAATGCACTGCACCTGAGTAAACCATACTTCTGTGTTATTAGCATTTAATCATTCTGTTACTCAGCCCTCTCTTTGCACAAAGCCAGTGTTTTGTTTTGTTTTGTTTTGTTTTGTTTTGTTTTGTTTTTTTGAGACAGAGTCTCACTCTTTGCCCGGGGTAGAGTGCCATGGCATCAGCCTAGCTCACAGCAACCTCAAACTCCTGGGCTCAAGTGATCCTTCTGCCTCAGTCTCCCGAGTAGCTGGGACTACAGGCATTCGCCACCATGCCCGGCTAATATTTTTCTATATATTTTTAGTTGGCCAATTAATTTCTTTCCATTTATAGTAGAGACAGGATCTGGCTCTTGCTCAAGCTGGTTTCGAACTCCTGACCCTGAGCGATCCTCCCGCCTTGGCCTCTCAGAGTGCTAGGATTACAGGCGTGAGCCACCTCGCCCGGCCCACAAAGCCAATCTTGGTGGGAACCACGTGCAGCTGTGTCTGTCTCAGGTGCGTCGTGTCTCTAGCTGCCAAGCACTGCCAGGCCGAGCTCCTTCCTGCCAACACTGAGGTCACCTCCCGTCACATCTGGAAGACAGGGCGTCCTCTCCTCCAGCTCCTACAGCCGTGCCTTTGGTTTTCAGCAGGAAACGATTTTGACGGTGGTGGTGGGTGGATGCTGGGCCCGCCCTGACCCAGGACCGACGCCCTGGCGCCTGCGGGCTGGAACAAAAGACCTGTCTTTGCGTGATCTCAGGGCCTACTCCACTTGTCTGAGTGCTCTGGAAAAGTTTTCTAGAGCAGTTTTGAAAGCTTGCAGCAAGAAGGCGCCCAGCTCATTGCTTGTTTCTTGAATGTCTGGGTCAAAACTTCCAAAGACGGGTGTGGAAACCTGGATGTCCTCGCGGTCTGCGCGGAGCAGCACGGCACGCAGCTCCTGGGCGATTGCGTCGTATTTCTGCTGGTCAAACTTGGACATGGCCAGCTCGTCCTGGGGGTAGGGGGCCCCCTCAGGGTAGCAGTCCTTGGGCACCGGGAACTCAACGCACCGCAGCTGGGGGAGCTCGCAGAGGGCCGTGAAGAGGCGCCTCAGGGCCCGGGCCGACAGCGGGTTCCCGAGGAACTTGAGCTCCCGGAGCTGGTGGCAGGGGCTGAGCCCCAGGACCATCATGCTGACGTGGCCGTCTGTGAGTCCACACTCCTCCAGGGTCAAGACCCTCAGAGTCTGGGCCGCCCGGCCGAGCAGCCTGAAGAAGGTCGCGGGGTACAGGCTGGCCAGGTTGTGCCCGCTAAGGTCCAGCACCTCCAGGTGGGCAGTGTGGACACAGTCTGCCAGGAAGGCCATGTCTGCGTGGTTCAGGGCACAGTTGGCCAGGTCCAGTGCTCGCAGTGGGGTCCTCAGGGGGCTGCAGGGCAGGGTGGGAGAGAGCACAGGTGAGAGGAGGGTCCCAGGAGGGAGCTGGGGATTTGGGTGGATGTGAGTAATCCATTCATCTGTCACGGGTCGGGGGGGTGGGGGGGTGGTGTCAAAATCCAGCCTGCCATCTGGTTTCCCACAGCCTATGAGCTAAGAGTGGTTTTTGTATAGAATTTTTTTTTTTTTTTTTTTTGAGACAGAGTCTCACTTTGTTGCCCTGGGCTAGAGTGCCATGGCATCAACCTAGCTCACGGCAACCTCCAACTCCTGGGCTCAAGCAATCCTCCTGTCTCAGCCTCCCAGAGGCTGGTTGGTTTTGTATTTTTAAATAGCTGCACCTGGCCTGGTTTTTGTATTTTTAAATAGTCAAAAAAATCAAAGCAAGAATAATAGTTTGTAAAATTCAAACATCGGTGTCTGTGACTAGTGTCACTGGGGCATTGCCTTAGGTGTCCCTGGGACTGGCTTTGTGCTGCAATGCCAGGGCTGGGCGGGCTGCTGCCAGAGCGGTCTGGCCTTTGTCCTCAGCACCTAAAATGATGAATGGTCTTATCAACACCCTTTCTGTGTGTGTAGAAAGCTCAGTGCAGGGCCGTGCAGGGGCAGTGAGTCAGCAGAAAGTGCCATGACACCATGTACCTCTGAGGGGGGACAAGGCACATAGTTTCAGAGCTGGGAAGGGCCGAGCATCTAGTCCAGCCTAGACCCACCTGGGGACCTAAAGAGCCCCCGACTTGGCCCCAGACCCCGTATCCCGATTTGGCTGGCTGGGGCGGCCGGGAGGACTCTCAGGAAGGGTTTGGGGTCAGCATTCACCCGGGCTCGTGAGAAGTGCACACTCTCTCCCACCCTGTCCCCATGGAGCGAAGTGGGGGGGGGATGGCTGGGCCCCTGAGCTCTTTAATGCCCTGCCTGAGGCTGACCCCCTCTGTTCCTCCCTGGCCAGGGCCCTCTCTGCCCTCCTCAGGCCTCCTGCCCCACCAGGCCTGCAGATGCCGGTGACAGCTCCCGGCAGCCTGAGCCAAAGGCACCTGCGCATTCGGATTTCTGACTCTGCAGTTGGGGTAACTTGTTCTTCAGCAACAGATAACAATACACCTGGCTACTTCTGCCTTGTGTCCTTGCTGATTGGCACGTTCTTTTGCCAACTAGTTAAACCATGTCCCTGGAGTTCTGTCATGTCCCAGGTCACACACAGACCCACCCGGTTCTCTTCCGGGGGCTCCGACGCAGGGTCGCCCCACCCTGAGGCGCAGCTCCTCTCCGCCTGCCGTGGGGGCAGCGGGGCAGCGCAGGGGAGGGCGTGTGTGGCCTTGTAAGTGAGCGGCCCCGGGCGCTGTCTGCCTGCCATCGGGGCCCTGGGCTTGGCCCTGCCCTCAGTGCCGTCCGGGACTCACCTGAGCAGCGTCTGCACCTTCCCGGTCAGCCTGGAGAAGGCCACGCCCAGCTCGGTGAGCTGGCTCATCTGGCTGAGCTCCCCGGCGATGGCGGCGAGAAGGGCGTCCTCCCCGCCGGGAGTCGAGGCACAGGCAGGAGGAGTGTCGAAGGCCTTGGTGGGCAGGGTGAGCGAGGCCAGCTGGGGCAGGCCCACCCGCAGCAGGTCGCGCACGTGGCCGGCGTGCAGGCGCACGTTGTGCACCACGGCGAGCTTGCGCAGCGTGCCCGGCCCGGCCAGGCGCAGCAGCTGCAGGAGCTGGCGGGGGCTCAGGCTGTCGGCGCGCAGTGAGGCGCAGCGCACCCGCAGAGGGGCCTGGCCCGCCGGCCTCAGGGCCTGCACCACCGCCTCAAAGTTGCCCTCGGTGACAAAGAGGTCGGCGAGGACGTGGACGGGGCGCGCGGCCTCGAGGGGCTCGGCCTGCAGCGCGCAGCAGGTCTCGGCCAGCAGCCGGGTGCGGCCCCACTTGCCCAGGGGCCTCCCGCAGGGGCACCGCTGCACCTGCACGTCACGGACGCCGGTGAGGTCGGCCACCCGCAGCCGCCGGCGCCTCCCTCCCCGCAGCACGTGGTCCGCGAGGCCGCGCACGCAGGCCTCCAGGCAGGCCCTGCAGGCGCGGTCCCGCAGGTCCTCGGCGTGGTCGCTGCTCGGCCCCAGCAGCGCGCCCAGCCGGAACTCCTCCGCGGGCCAGCGCGCCAGCACGGCGCGGATCACCTGCGCCTGCTCCAGCAGGTAGCTGGCCTTGAACAGGAGCGGGTAGAGGTTGTGGGCCACGCTGTCCAGGCTGTGCAGGGCCAGCTGCGGGCAGGACACCAGGGCTCCCGCAGCGATGAAGCGGAGCGACCGCATTGCGCCCGCAGCCCAGGGCAGGGCTCTTCCCGAGGCGTGTGCCCTTCGTGCCTGTTTTTAGCCTCAGCAGCTGTGAGCAGCTCCGCACTGGGCAGAAAGTGGCTGGCCCGGTGGTCATCTGACTGCTATTTTCGTCCTGGACATGTGTTTGACTACAGCCGAGGAGTGTCTGTCTGGCCGCTAGGCACCCACAGCAGGGCTGGTCAGAGAAGCCCCTGCTGGGGCTGCAGGAGGCCAGGGCTGGTCAGAGAAGCCCCTGCTGGGGCTGCAGGAGGCCAGTGTGGGCAGGTGCCGGCCGGGGAGGCCAGGGGGCAAGGCCCGCAGATGGTCTGATCTCCACCCGGGTCTGCTGCCCGGGCCCTGGGCCCGTCCCACACCAGAGCAGAGGATGCAGTCAGGCTCCTGAGCCACATGTCCATGGTGGCCTTTGAGGGCTGGTCCCTCCCTTGGCCTCGGATCTGGGAGTCCTCGGGCCAGGGATGGGGCGGGCGCCTTGCACAGCTGTTTCCTGATTTCAAGAAGAGGCAAGTAATGCCAGACCCAAGGGGTGCAGAGCTGCTGTGTCCCTTCTCTGTGACTTTATTCTCCACTCTTCTAGGGCAGGTGGGAGGGGTAGAGCCTCCTGAGGGGTGCGGGCAGCTGCCGGACCCCTGGACCCCACTCTCCCTGCGCTGCTGCGATTTGGGTCAGGGCCAGCACACGTAGCTCACAGGGCCCCAGGAGGGGCACAGGTCTTGGAGGGGCTTAACCATGAGAGACCCACAGAGAGAGACAGAGAAAGAGAGACAGAGACAGACAGAAACAAAGACAGAGAGATAAAGAAGGAGAGAGACAGAGATAGAGACAGAGATAAAGACAGAGACAGAAACAGAGAGACGAGAGAGACAGAGATAGGCAGAGACAGACAGTGGGAGGGCAGGAAGGAGCTGGCGGGGGTGAGCCTGGCTGGTTTTCTGCCTGTGGGGCCCACCTGGCCTCACCATCGACCCTCCTGGGTCTGTCCCCGCTCAGCCTTAGCAGCACCTCTCCCAGGGAGGCCATTGGTGGGACACGATGTACCCATGGGGACACTGCCAGGAGGTGGTGGGACTTGGCCCCAACATCGCCCTGCAGCCTCAGCTACCCCAGCCATCCAACTCCTGGGCCTTCAACTCCCAGGCTCAAGCCATCCTCCTGCTTCAGCCTCTCGAGCAGCTGGGACTACAGGTGTGAGCCACCCACCCTGCCAGGCCAAGAGGTTTCTTTTTTTTTACAATCTTCAGAGTTTATTCAAATTTAACCAGTTTTATACATCTTTTTTTTAAAATGTTTTATTTATTTTTGTTTTTATTGATACATACTAGACGTACATGTTTCCAGGGTCCGCGTGATAATTTATGACATCATGTGACTTGTAAAGATCAAACCTGGGCCACTCAGGGAGGGGCGGGGCCTCACACAGAAGCACAAGCCGTCTGAAAAGATGGGACCTGGGGCCCCACACCTCCCCGAGTGGGCCCAGGGCTCCCTGCCCGTCTGTGTATGGCTCCTGCCCGCCCGGGGGGGGGTCCCAGAGGCTGCAGGGAGAGGCTGTTCTCCTTGAACAAACTGCTCGGGGGGCCTCTGCTCAACGAGGCCCTCACTTCTGCACTCTGTGTCCATCTGCAAGCACCGTTCAGTTTTAGCAGGAGTCCTGATCATCAGCGTGACCGGAATGTTCCACCCTGAGTGTCTGATCACCCTCCATGTCCATGTTAGCCATTGCATGTCTGTCTTCATCTGACATGCCCACGTGGACTGATTTGCATGTGGAGCCATCCTCGCATCTCTGGAGCAGAGCCACGTGACTGTGGTGTGTCATGGTTTTTACGTCTTGTTGGATTTGGTTTTCTGGTGTTTCGTTGAGAATTTCTGCATCTGTGTTCAGCAGGGATACTGGCGTGTAGTTTTTCTGTGCGTGTCATCGTCCGGTTTTGGTAGTCGGCGTAATGCTGGCCTCATCAGAATGAGTTAGGAAAAATATCCTCCTCTTCTCTTTTTTGGAATAATCTGAGGAAAAATCTTTCAAGTCCTTATTTATAGGTTTGGTAGAAATACGCAGTGAAGCCATCTGGGTATAGGCTTTTCTGGGGGGAGCCTTTCTATTACCGATCCAATCCCATTACTCATTATTAGTCTGTTCAAGTTTTCTACTTATTCTTGATTCAATCTTAGTAGATTCTATGTGTCTGGGAATTTATTCATTTCCTCTAGATTTTCAGTTACCATACAGTTGTTCATAATAGTCTCTAAAAGTCTTTTTTATTTCTTTGGTATCAGTTGTAATGTCTCCCTTTTCATTTCTGATTTTGTGTATTTGCATCTTCTGTTTTTCTTGGTTAGTATGGTTAATGGTTTATCAATTTAGTTTATGCTTTTAAAAAGCCAACTTTTTGTTTTGTTGATCCTTTGTTTTTGTTTTTTTCAGTCTCTATTTTGTTTATTTCTGCTTTGATATTTATTGTATCTTTTCTTCTACTAATTTTGGGTTTGGTTTGTTCTTGCTGTTCTACTTTGGGCAGGTGCTCGCTGGGCTGTTCATCTGAAATCTTTCTGGTGTTTTTTTTTTTTTGAGAAAAGTCTCCATTTGTTTGCCTAGGCAGAGTGGAGTGCCGTGGCGTCAGGCCTAGTCCAGGCAACGCTCAAGACTCCTGGGCTCAAGCAATCCTACTGCGTTCAGCCCCGAGTAAGCTGGGACTGATAGGACATGCTACTACCATCGCCCGGCTAATTTTTCTAATATATCTGTTGCAATTAATTTCTTTTATTTATAGTAGAGATGGGGTCTGCTCTTGCTCAGGTTGGTTTTGAACTCTGACCCTCGAGCAATCGCCACCCTGGCCCCCAAACTTCCTTCTATTCTTCTCATTGACCAGTGGTGGTTCAGGAGCCAATTTTCATGTATTTGTAGTTACCAAATCTCCTTGCTGATAACTTTACTTTTTTTTTTTTTTTTGAGGAACAAGAGTCTCGCTTTGTGGTCCAGGCACATGTGACGGCCTGTGGCAGTCACCTAGTCACAGCACCTCAAACTCCTGGCTCGAGTGATAGCTTACTGCTCAGCCCCGAGTAGCGACTACAGGCATCGCCCCAATGCCGGCTAATTTTATTATATAGGTCAGTTGGGCAAATAATTTTCTTTCATTTAAGTAGGAAGACGGTCTCGCTCTTGCTCAGGCTGGTTATTGAACCTGAACCTTGAGCAATCCGCCCGCCTCGGCCGTCCCAGAGAGCTAGGATTACAGGCGTGAGCCACAGCGCCCGGCCTTGATTCTACTTTTATTATATTGTGGTCTGAGATGTTTGATATGATTTTGATTTTTTAAAAAAATTTGTTGAGACTCATTCTGTGGTATAACCATTTTCTATCCTGAATAATGTTCTATTAAGAGGAATGTATACTCTGGAGCTGTTGGATAAATGTTCTGGAAAAGTCTATTAGGGCCATTTGGTCTAAAGTCCAGTTCAACTCTAATGTTTCTTGTTTGATTGTCTCAATAATCTGCTTAGTACCAAGAGTGAAGTATTACATTCCCTATTACGGCACTGGATTCTGTCTCTGCCTTTAGATCTAATGATACTTGCTTTGTATATCTGGGTGCTCTGGCATTGACTGCATATATTTCTAGAATTGTTATATTTTCTTGCTCAATTGACCCCTTTGTTATTATGTACTGACCATCTCTGTCTCTTTTTTACTGTTTTTGACTTAAAGTCAGTTTTATCTGATCTAAGTCTAGCTAGATTGTGCTGGATTTTGGTTTCCATTTGCTCCTGAGGAAGAAACTGCAGAAGGCGCCAGGGCACTGCCCATGGGCAGGACGCACCCGCATGTGCTGGGCCTGCTCCCACCTCCCGCGAGACTGCGCTCAGCCTGTGTCCCCCATGGGCTGTCCCTGTCCCGTCCACCCCACTGTCCCCCACCGGCTGTCCCTGTCCCCCCCCTGTCCCCCACCGGCTGTCCCTGTCCCGTCCACCCCACTGTCTCCCACCGGCTGTCCCTGTCCCGTCCACCCCACTGTCCCACCCACGGCATGTCCCTGTCCCGTCCCATCCCCTACTGTTCCAACCGGCTGTCCCTGTCCCGTCCACCCCACTGTCCCCCACCGCTGTCGTCCCGTCCCACCCCACTGTCTCCACGGCTGTCCCTGTGTCCTCCACCCCATGTCGCCACCCCTTTTGATTTGCTGTCCCTATCCCATTCACTCCACTCTCGTTTTGGCCCTCGGGCTCTTCTGCAGCGGGCCCACTGAGCTCTCAACCTGCTTTCTGGCAGGGAGCCCTGCTCACCTGCGCCCCCCCCCACTTGCTGTGCTGCCCTCCCGGCTGCCCAGTGCCAGGCTGCGGGCGGGACCCTTTTTCTGCCCGTCTCCAGCCAACCACACGGCCCTCTCCAGCCGCAGCACTGCGCTGCCCCGTGGGCCACTGGGGGCGCAGCCCTCGGTGCCTGCGCGCCCAGGCGGGCCTGGGAGTGACGCCGGGCCCGAGCGCGGCCAGGCCGGCGGGAGCGGGCGCGCGCCCCGGAGGGGCGAGCGCGGGACCAGAGCGGCGGCGCGGGCGGGAGGGCGGCGGTGAGCGCGAGTTGCCGGCCGCGCCCGCCTCCGCGGAGGGGAGCGGCTCCGCCGGGGTCCCGGGCGCCGCCAGGGCGGGGCCGAGTCCGCCGCGCGGGTCTGGAGCGCCGGGTCTGGAGCGGCGCGGGCGGGCCGGCGCGGGCGGGTTTGCGCCGAGCGCCCGGCTGCGACTCGGGGCGCTGCGGCTGAGCGGTCCGATCCGCGCTGCAGGACGACGCGGGCAGTCCCCGAGAGCAGCTCTGCGGCCCGCCTCCCCTTCCTCCCGCCGGGCGGGACGGGAAAGGTTGCCGGTGCTAGGAGGGTGAAGGGCGTGTGTCCCACTGTTTGTTTTCTAAACACAGATTGTCGCTAGGGAACGTGGTTCTCTCCGCAGCTCCCAGACCGAAACTCGCAGAGGGCAAACGCCATACCTACACACCACAGTCCATACACACCTGCACACACCCATATACACTTAACACCCTACCTGCACACACCCCACACCTACATACACCACACACCTGCACACACGCCATACAAACCTGCACACACTCACATACACCTGCACACACCCATATACACTTGTATAACACCCTACCTGCACACACCCACCTACAAACACCACACACCTGCACACACCCCATACAAACCTGCACACACCCCACATATATCTGCACACACCCATATACACTTGTATAACACCCTACCTGCACACACCCCACACCTACAAACACCACACACCTGCACACACTCCACATACACCTGCACACACCCATATACACTTGTATAACACCCTACCTGCACACACCCCACACCTACAAACACCACACACCTGCACACACCCCATACAAACCTGCACACACCCCACATACATCTGCACACACCCATATATATATACCTGTACAACCCACTTGCACACCAACACTCCGCATACACCTGCACACACCCTTATCCCTTTGTGCTATGACAAAATACCTGAGACTGGGTAACTTAAACAACAGAAAGTTCTTTACTGACGTCTGGACGTCCCAGATCAAGGCCGCAGGTTTGGTGTCTCGCGAGACCCGGCTCTGCTTCCTTGATGGCCTGCGTCCTCACAGGACACAGCGGAAGAGCAGAGCGAACGCCTATGATGCCGCCTTTACAAGCCTTAATCCCATCCCCAGGCACAGCCCTCCCGGCCACAACCTCATAAAGGCCCCACCTGCCGCTGGCATGTTGGATGTGAAGTCACCACACCTGAACTCTGCAGGACACACGAACCACAGCACACCCACACGCCAGCTGACAGGAGTCCTGGCCTGGGGGTCAGAGCTGCTGGCCCTCACACGCCAAGGCCTGCTTCCTGCTTCCTTCCAGGGCCCCGTCCTGAGGCCCTGTCCACATGACAGCTGGGCCCAGCACCCCATGGCCAGCCCAGAGTGCAGGTCATCATGGAACACTGGCCAGGGTACAGAGGGCCAGCCGACAGCTGCCCCCAGGCAGTGCCAGGAGCAGTGCCAGAGCCAAGGCTGCATCTGCTGGGCCCTCCTTGGAGAGCTCTCGTGTCCTGTGGGAGACACAGGTGTGGCCCCACCTCTGGCCTCCACATGAGAGGGCTGCCACAACAGCAGCCACCTTGCACCCATGAGGACAGGGCCCAGGGACCACAGAGATGCTGAGCTCAGGGAGGCCCCATCCCTACCCTGCCAATAACTGTTGAACTCCCTGTAGCTCGAGAGAGCCCTGAGCTGTCAGCAAGGTCAGAGAGCTGCTGGTCACCCCATCCTGGAGAGCTCTGGCCTGGCCCCAGGGCCTTTGAACCTGCAGGGTCACAGCAGGCCAGGGTGGCTCCACACTGTGGGAGCTCAGCTGGGCTTCTGGGGGCCCCTGGCTCTACAAATGTCCCCATCTCCCTCTTGGTCCTACAGGACGCTGGCAGACCCTCTCTCTAGTCACCTTCACTGAGCACTACAGCCCAGTGCACGGAGACTGCCCACAGTGGCGGCCTGAGCTGCGGGGCTAGCGGCCAGGGACTGCCCAGTGCCCTATGGGGAACTCCACTGGGCGGGGCCCAGGCCCAAAGGCCAGAGTACTGGGGTGGGGTGGCTGCCCCCCCGTGGCCCCAGGTAAGTAACCACCAAACCCCGTTTCCATGCAGAATCCCAGCCCACGGTGAGCTGCTTCGAGCTGCTCTAACAGAACACCTGAGACTGGCGACTCAAAAAACAGGTTTATTTAGCTCATAGTTCTGGTGACTAGAAGGTTCAAGACTGGGCATCTAGTGGGGTCCTCGGGCTGTGTCCTCTCGTGGTGGGCAGTGGACACGGAGCCACGTGCAAAGAGAGCAGGTGGTGGGTGGGGGAAGAGGGGGGCGGGTGCACCCAGGACGCTGCTCTCTGGGAGCTAATCCTTCCTGGGGGCATGCAGAAGGCCCTCATCCTTCCAGGAGGGACCCGCCCTGTGCCCGCACACTTCGCAAGGAGGCCCACCTCCCAACCTGCCATCCTGGGACAGAGTTTCGACACAGGCTTGGTGGGCGCAAACCAACCCGCAGCACCCACCCTGGGTGCCAGCAAGCAGGCCCGGCGCAGGCGTGCGGCCCCACCAGTGTCTCGGGCCCCAGCAACCCGCCAGGGCACGACAGAGGCTGTGGGTTTCTGGGAGACACAAGAAAGTCACGATTAACTAGAGAACGTCACCAGCACCCCCCCAAAAGGGTGGCGACTCTTAAGGCCCATCGCCTGCACAGGGCTCGACTCTGAGAAGAGGGCAGTTCTTGGAATAGACTTCACAGCCGCTGCACAGCGGAGGTGCCGCCCAGGCTGCGGATGAGCGGTTGTCGTGCCTCTGAGGAAGAAAGTCCCCCACGTGACCCAGCATTCATGGGTCCCCGTCCTTGGAGGCGCTGACGTCGAGGCACACGGCAGCCTTCTCCAGCGGAGCAGCCCTCGGGGCCCTCAGACGGGCCAGGCCCTCGGCCACTGACCAGCACGACAGACGGGGTGCGGAGGAGCAGGGCAGCCTCATGCGCCCTGAAGGCGGCCAGGACGCCCATCTGCCTCACCCCAGGTCCACAGAGTGTCAGGGACCTCCCCAGCTGACCGGGCAGCCTCGGCCACTCAGGCCCTCCCCTGGGGACGTCTGTGCTCCAGAAGACAAGCTCAGAAGTGCGCAGGACCAGGGCCCCGTCGCCACACATGTTGGCAAACATGCAAAAGCCATGACCCCCAGCCCAGGTCGACAGGTGAACGCAGACACAGGCATCTCACGATGCGCTGCCCAGCCAGACCGAGCTGACACCTGCCTGCGTGCCTTCTTGTGGGCACACACCGGGCCGTTCCCATCACAGCCCACGTGACGTGCTGCCACCGGCCACATTCCAGCTGCACAAATGACACTTCTGGGAAGCTCCCAGCAGCTCTGCTTTGACGTGGCCAGATTGGCCCAGCGCTGGCCCACCAGGCGCCACGTGGCAGGCCAGGCGTGGGGAGCAGGTGATGCCAGTGCACACGCACCGTGGTGGTCCTGTTTGGAGTTTAACTCCAACAGAGAGGAGCCACATGTGTTCCGCCACCCAGTGCTGCACCCAGACACCCGCAGGGGACAGCCCGGGCTTCTCTCCTCCCCAAGCACCTGTCAGCTCTGAGGCGTGAGGACCCCGAGCCAGGCTGGCCTGTGACGCCCGACCAGTGTGGCCTGAGCAACGGCCCCTCACCCCTGCCAGCCTGGCCAGTTTTTCTGCCCACCAGGAGTCCCTGCAGGTCTGGGCAGAGACCGCCAGCTTCCTCAGGCAGGGACTGGCCAGGGCTGGCCCCAGCCCCAGCCCCTTGCTGCCGAGCCACAGGCCCGTGGAAGGCACAGGTCACACCCAGGCCCACGCTGACGCAGGCTGCAACGTGGACAGACCTTGGAAACACGCTGCGCAAAAAGCAGCCAGACACAAATTGGCACATCCATTGTGATCGCATGGACACGTGTGCAGCATGGGGAGGTCTGGAAACAGTGGACTGGCGGCTGTCGGGACCGCCAGCAGGTAGGGGCTCCTTTCTGGGGTGGTGAGAGTGCTCTGGGGCCTGACAGGGTGGTGGCTGCAATGGGGCAAATGGCAGGGAATTGAACACTTTCAAATGATCAATGGTTAATTTTATGTCATGAATTTTACCAAAACAAAATAGTTTTTAAGACACGAAGGCCTTAGGTCAGGTAGGTCTTTCTTCTTCCATTCTGAGCAGCAGGGTGGGCGAGGTGCCAGGCTTCCGGAGGTCCTCACCTGAGCAGTTGGCAGCTGTGCCGCACCTGTGGCTGGCGTCCAGGAAGCAGCAACATCCCTGCACCCAGCCAAGGACAGCACCCCAGGCAAAGACAGCAAGCTGGGCTCTCGCCGCACGCCACCCCGACGTCCTGAGACCCCAGTGGCTCCTGCACAGCGCACACCACACCCCACGCTGCCCCTGCAGGGCAGGGAGGAAGGGGACGCTGCGGGAAAGGGAGGGGCACTGCCCTTGGAGGTCACCCTGGGGACCTGCAGGAAGCATCTGCCCTCCTCCCAGGGAGCCCGACCTCTGGAGTCCTGTGGCGCAGAGGCACCTGCTCACCAGACTCGACATGGGGCTCGTCTCCGGGCCACGGACCTGCACACCCGACCCCACCCGACCCCAGACTCCTTTCGGCTCAAACTAGCCACAGCTGCACTGATACTCCATCCGGCAGGACCGTGCCGCCCGCTCTACAGGGCTGTGGCCGTGTGGCTCGCTGGCAACACCTGCGGCAGCTGCCCACTGCCCATGGGGCCTCTCCAGCCACGGCCCCTCCCTCCGCAGGACAGTGGGCTTCGGCGTGTGCCCGGCCGCTAGAGGGCCAGGGCGCCTGGCTCTCTCGACTCTGGACGTCCCACAGGGGCAGGGCCCCAGCAGGAGGTCCTGCCAGACGCACAGGCGAGACCCGACATCACCGTGGGTGTGAGAACTGGGCTGGGTGAGCAGGAAGAAGGGTCTCGTGGAGAAGTCCCGGTGAGGGGCCCTTGCCAGGCCGGGAACAAGCATAAGCCCTTGAACTCTGCGCAGAGCTCCACTAAGGTCTGTGTTTATAGAGCTCTGCGGACACACAAAGGCATCCGGCCAACACGTCCAGTTACCAATGACTTACAGACACCGCGTTTTGCGGTGACAGGCAGGCTGTTTGTTCTTCCCTGCAGAACACGTTCCTTCCTCAGGCTTGTCCGTTACACAGAAAGCGGGAGGCTGCCCGCACCCCAGCCCATGCTGCGTGCTCCCCGCACGACCCTGCGCAGCGTGGCTTCCGAAAGGAGCATGCAGGGCCGACAGCAGACTGGGCCACCCCAGGAGGACGGTGGGGCAGAGACAGGCGTGTCCACACCGTGATGCTCAGAACAGACCACACACGGCTCCACAGTCCAGCCTCCCCCTGTGTGTGTTATTTCCACTGTCGAGGTTTGCAGGCTGGTGTCCCTCTGCTGCTGGCAGGACAGTACTCGCCTTCACACCTCCCGGCTGCACCCAGAGGCCAAAGGGAACAAGATAAAGGTCTTCGTTTAAAAAGAATAACCTCTGCACATGCAAATTAAAACTTACAAAAGAAATAGCAACAATCAGAAACTACCTACAAGGCTAGTTCTTTGTAGAGGCGGCAGGTTCTGGAGACTGAAGAAACTCGTAGGGGTCGTGGGTCACATCCTGCTGCTCCCCAACGCTGAGGCGAGAAGGGCTTCCTACAGTTTGAGAGAAACATGGGAGTTCGACACACACGACAGGTTTGCCACGCAGGGCTCGTGAAGCCAAGTGTCTGCCTGGGTGGGCCTCGGTCAGCAAAGCCAAGACTCAGCCAGCCAAGCTCCCACAGCTCGGCGCCTCTCGCCATTCCGGCACCCAGAGGGCCGCCTGTGCCTGGATGAGGTTGGCCCGGCCGCCGCTCCACGGGAGAGGAAGCTCCCAGGCCAGGGTCCCTCAGACAGAGCCCAGGCCCAGTGAGTGGCTCCCACGTCACCCAAAGGTCACTGGGTTATTGGGGCCTCAGGTGTCAAGCTGACCACAGCCACCCGGAACTGAGCACTCCTGGCGCTACTCGGGCTCTGGATGGAAAATGGTGGTCCTTCCTCAGACAGCTGCAGCCACGCCTCTGCGGCTGGCTACTACTTGGGAAAATGTCGGGGTCCACTCTGCTGAAGTAACAACTCAGCATCCACACGGGAGGGCTCCAAGAATACCACAGGGACGTTGGAGGGGCCGCAGAGCAGACGCCTGGTGCCGTGTGCTGTGGCTGAGACATCCCCACTGGGGCCGACGTCTCTCCTCACACACCAAGCCCTGCCAGGAAGGCCACGTGCTCCCCACGAGAGACACTGCAGACGGGGACCTTGTGAGGTCAGGCACTGGCCAGCAGGGCTCAGGACTGACGTCTGGCGGAACGTTTGCGGAGACCCGTCGGGTGGCAGCAAACGTCCCCAATCAGGAGGTCAGCTCTGTGGCTCTGCCCTGCGCCCAGAGGGGCCGTGGGCGGCAGGGACAGGAGGGCGTGCGAGGACACAGGCAAGGCCGAAAAGCCACAGCACCGGCTAAACCCCAGCGGAAACCTCCACCCCAGCGCAGCCGCTGCACACCGGAGGCGCCTCCTCCATGCTTGCGGGCCCAGCCACCTCCACACACCGGCTCCACCTCAGGAACCTCCAGTCCTCGTGCGACTTGGCTGCCCCATGTCTGCGTATTGGGCCACCTGTCCCGGGCCATCTCTGGGGCCGCCTTACCCAGGTGGTGCTGGTCCCTCTCGGAGGCATTGGACAGCGAGCTGAGGTTGGATGACGGCCGGGAGCCGCCACGCTCCGCCTGCGCCTCGTGTAGGTCCTGCAGGAGCTTGGTGGTCTCGTCCAGGGTCAGGTGGCCGTCGTCGTGCTCCAGCTCCTTCTTCACCTTCCCTGCGGACACAGACGGCGGGGGCTGGAGGCGCTTGGGCAACCCTGCCCACTGAGGGCCCAGCCCAGAGGCCACGCGGGAGGAGGATCAGCCCCACACCCAGGTCTTCTCTCTCGCTCAGGACGGTGGCCCGCGAGCAAGGCTGGGCGAGCGCTCAGCAGGCAGGCACTCGGCTGAGGACAGCAGCTCGTTGTGGCAATGGGCAGAGGAGAAGGCAGCGTCTTCCACTGACGCAAAGCCCTGGACAAGAGACCCGGCCCCACGCCAAATCCAGGCCGCCTCACACACACGTGAGAACTGTGGCTGGTGTAGGAAGGGACTGGCGTTGGTCTCTGTCCAATGCCTCCGAGCGGACGGCAGACAGAGTGCAAGGGGCCTGCCAGAGCCAGGCAGGGGACCCAGCAGAGAGCTGGAAAGACAGCCCCCAGACCATGCCAGACCAGCTGCCAGAAGTGCTAGCTCACACAAGCGTGATAACCCGTGTCCCGACACTCAGCCCCTTTCTACCTGGCACCTTCCACCCCAAGAGCCCCCAGCCTCTCTCGTCTCAGCCAGTTTCTCCACAGCTCTGGCCACGGCACGGGTGCCTTCCCCAGGAAGCCCTGCTGAGTCCAGGCTGCCGTCCCCCAGAGGGGCCTGGACGGTGTTCTGTGCTCTCTGCCAAGACTGCGGCTCCACAGGGGTGGGGGCAGCACGGTGGATGGTGCCTCTGCCGCCTCCCCAGGGCCTGGCGTCACACCTGGCACACGGCTGGCACTGTTCTCGCAGTCGTTGAACGGACACAGAGCTAGAACACAGACGCAGTGAGGACAGTCACAGCTGCTGCGTCTGTAGTGATGGCTGGGCCGCTGTTCTTGGGGAGGCTGGGCTAGGGCTGCCGTCCAGAGTCTCGGGCTCTGGCAGGGCCCCTGCAGCTGAGGAGGTGCTGGCAGCACAGAGCCACATGGTGAGGTGCTTCACACAGAAACCCACTTTCTTCCAGGAGCCTGGAATCTGCTATGTGCTGGGCAGCGACCAGCCCCCAGTAACCCGCCTGGGCATTTCCTGCCAGGCACCTGCACGAGACCAGAACTGGCAGAGACAAGTGGCGCATCACCCACGAGCCAGCAGGACCCACGGTTCCAGCAATCTTCAAGTCACAGGCTGCAGTCGAGAGGCGGACGCAGGTGAACCCAGTCTGGAGCCCTATGGAAGGTTCTGCGGGCCGAGGACAGCAGGCCCTCAGCCCACAGCCCACCGGCCAGGCCGGGCCACCTGGGAACGTGCTTACCCGGCAGCTCCGTGGCAGGTGCTGGCGGGGTGTCCTCTAGCTCAGTGCTGACGCGTCTGCATGTGGGTAACATCAGATCCCACAGCGGGAAGGCACACGATTGCTCCCGCTTCAGAGGCCAATCCCAAGCCTGTGGTTCTGCCTGGTTCTAAAATGCCATGATGCCCTCCTCTGCTTTGAGTAATGTGCTAGAGTAGCTTCCTTAGCAATTTATCATAAAGGATGCCCCCCATCCTTCTGGTTTTTGTGGAGGCGCTGTGACCAGGCCTGGCTCCCGGGTGTCGCCAGGCCCATCTTCTCATTGGCAAACAAAAAGACACTTACATCTTGGAGATTCCAAGGGGTTTAGGAGCTGTGGGCTAGAAACCACGACAAAGACCAAACACCAGGATAGACGCGTCTCCTTGCAACCCTAGCTAGTCAGGAGGGGAGGGGCAGACCAGACATTTACTTCTCATCACACCACACTCCTGCAGGGCAGAGGCACCTGCTGCCACTCACCCAGAGAGCTGAGCAGGGAAATGTCCAGAGACACGTCAGAATACGGCTTCACCGACACAAAGTCCAGGACAGAGCCACTGCCATCCCCTAGGGTGTCCCCAGCCTGTGCAAGGCAAGACAAAGACGAAAAGATGGAGCTGCAATGAAGAGCAGATAAATATGACACAGAAGCTGAGATGCTACTTAGCACCAGCTGTGGAAATGACTGTAATCGTTTGCTACACTGGAGCCCAGCCTCATGAGTGGGAACAGCCGCCTATAGCATATGCAACCCAAGGCCCCACCCATCTGAGCTCACAAGGAAAACACTCCTCCCAACAGCAGAAACAAGCGAGCCTTTGCTAACTATCTGGGGACTCCACTAGGCACTAAGGGAATCAGTGGGTCAGGAAGACACACAGAACCGAGAGGGCCCATGACTGCTTTCAGGGACTCCATGGAGCAGTGCGCAGCGGGTCCCAAACCAACAGAGAGGGTCCTCCTCCCAGAAAGGGCGTCCTGAGGCCAGTCTACAGCAGTCCCCATGGCTCTCTGGTCAGCTCCTGCAGCCCAGCTTCCCCCGGCAGATGGATGCTAGGGGGTCTCTCAGCGCTCCCAGGAACCCCAGACCAAACCCCATACCTGCCAATGGGCAAGTCCTGCGGCTGGGCACATAGTGTCCTGCCTCCAAGAGCCCCCCACTCCAGAGACAACACCTGCTACTCAACAAGCAGGTCCCAAGTGGCCCCTCCACCCCTGCATGGTGTCCGTGAGGGCAGTGCCCAGCAGAACGAGCTGCTGCACAAACCCTGCTTCTGGATTTGGGAGAACGTCCTGTGGCTTTGCACCCTCACCTCAAGCCACTAAAAAGCAGCAGGGTTCTAGAAACGCACCAGTTTACCTTGTTCTTTAGAATAAGCATCAGCTTCTAAATACAGCGACACCTGAAGCCTTTCCTGCTCACCCACTTCAAAGGCCGACACAGCTGTGCTCAGCCTAGTGCTTCACTTACACATTTGAAAACCCACCTTCACTTCGTCTGGAGGTTTCGCAGGAACACTTCTCCTCTGCAAAGTGAAAGAGGCCAGAAACCAGCTTTTCCAAAATGATTTTACGTGAAAGGGCAATGTGTTGACATCATTTGCTACCCCAGCTCAGGTGTGTGCCGTCTTCATGCACCGAGCTGGCGGTAGCCTGGCCCTGGCCGGCCACTCGCTCAGCACCGGCAAGACCCCAGGGCTGTGTGCTGGGGAGGGCACCCCAAGGGCAGAAGACAATGGAAGGGAGCATGGACACCCACCCCAGCCCTGCAGTCTGGGGTGATTCAAAGCGTACCCAGGTCCTGGGGGCAGCTCGGGAAACAACCATGCCCGGCAGTTTCACCCGGAACAGGACCAGGCTCGAGTCCCGAGGGAGGTGGGCGCGTAGGAACAAAGGTGCCGCACAGTCCTGGCACCGCCAGCTGCAGGCGAGCAGGGCCTCTCCTCGGCCTCCACGGCATCGCCGTCCTGTGCCCCGGCAGGAGCACAGACTTAGACACGCCCTGGTGTTCCGTATGTGCCAACCAACAGCCATTGAGAGTGACTCTTTCACATGGGGTGTTCGTCCAAAGTGTTTCTGAGAGTTCACCAACTTTTAATCAGAAAAGCAAATACTGACATTTTTTATGCCTCGTTCCTCACATGAGCTCTTTTTAATGTTTCGTATTGAGTGTCATTGGACGCTGGGGCGCATCTGAAATAACTCTGACGCAAGTTCACTTTCACAAAAGGCACCAAACTGGAATTCAGAGAGTAGCTGACAGCTCAACCTCATCTCAGGGCCTTCCCTCCCTCAGCAAGGACACCAAGTAGAAACGCCGGCTTCAGACTCGGCGCCAAGAGCCAGAGCGCACAGGCCACGGGCCGGGCTCTGGAGAGGAGGATGCTGCTCAGAGGAGGAGCGCCAGCAATCTTTGAGGGGCCCGGAGCCTGCTCCGCACGTACCTGCTCTCGCACAGATGAGACTGCAAGGCCAAAGCAGCCCCAACAGGAACCATGCCCCAGACATTCCCAGGGCAGGGACCCGTCCACGCCCCACCAGCCAGGGCAGAGGCCTCACTGCGAAGCCCGGCCCCAGAAGGCCACTCAGCATAGCCCTTGATAGAGGCTGCCCCAGACCCCACCAACCAAGCTGAACAAGCCTGACAGGGTCAGGTGATCCATAAGTAACTTCACTCTCTGCCGTCACAAACGTCAATGTCCTTTAAAAGACAACAAAATCCAGACCAGTCTTGTCCAACAGAAACACAAACATATACCTAATTTTAAATTTTCTAGTGGCCACATTAAAATCACGGTTAATGCGCACTAACTGTAGCATACTGTACTTAAGGCAACATACTGAAAACATTTTATTCCAGCATGCAGCCCATACAAAGTAGTTATTGGTAACAGAATTTTATCTTTTTTTCATTTAATCTTTAAAATTCTACTTTGCTGTTCACACTTAAGCCAGATCTAAATTCAGACTAGCCACATTTCAATTTCCCAGTGGCCACACGAGGCTGGTGGATGTTGGGTACAGACTCCCAACGTGGAACGTTCACCATGCCGTGTCCGACCAACACCACCACAAATGCATCCCGGCGGTGACCTGTGGCTACGCCAGAGCACAGCCTGCAGCAGACAGAGCCAGCGGCGGCAGGATGGCAGGAGGAGCACGTGAGGACTCAGACAGTAGCTACAACAGACAGCATGACCGTGCTCAAAGATTTAAAGGAAAACCAACATAAAAGATGCAAAAAAGAACCAAAGGGAATCCTAGAGATGAAAACTTCCTGTCTGGGATCAGCGACAAGTTTAGAGATGGCATGAGAATAGTTTAGTGAGCCTGAAACCACAGCAACAAAAACTATTCAAACCAAAAGACAAAGCGCTGGTAACGCCTACAATGACATCGAATGTCTAATGTGTCCAAGTCCTAGAAAACAAGGGGAGAGGCAAGGGCACAAAATGGCTGAAAAAAAAATTGGCGGAAAATCTTCCAAATTCGGTGAAAACTATAAGCCAATAGTTTTACAATTTTCAAGAAACGCAACAAATGACAGGCAGAATGAACACAAAGAAAATCAGCCCAAGGCACGTGGCAAAAGTCTCCCACTCAAACGCCCAAGAGCACACGGAGCCTCCAGGAGCCACTGGCTGCAGCGCCAGGCCCCGCCGCACTCCTTTTGTGACAACCTTGACAAATGTGACACGGCCACACTTCGCAGGCAGTGCAAAGGCCAGGTGCACATCAGACCTGGTCGGCAGGCTGCAGTCGGCCCACTCTAGACCTGACCAAGAAAGGAAGGTCACAAACGGAAAACACAGATAAAATGACTACAGACTTCTGAAAACAACACGAGCCAGACTCTCACAGTGGAGAGGAAACAAAGTCAATCCGGAACGCTACACCCAGGGAAAATTAAGTTAAAAAATGAAAGCAAAATAAAGACTTTCAGACTTTATCCTGAGCGAGTTCACTGTCAGCAAGTCTGTAGCATGGAAAGTATTAAGGAAAGTTCCTCAGGATGAAAGAAATCGGGGTGCGCAGAAAGCCAGGCGGCACAGCAGGATGCCGGCACCCGTGAGTCTCCTGAAACCACCGCACCGTCTGACTCTGGCAGAGCTGAAAAGCCCGTGAGGGAAGGCTGGCTGGAGATTACCTAAAGCAGCAAGCGCTTCCCTGAAGCCCGGCCTGGACGCACGCTCTCTACAAGGAGCGCTGCGAGGGCAGGTGCCGCGAGGGCGGAGCCGAGGCGCAGCCCACCTGCTTCAGCTGGAGGAGCACCCTCGAGTGGTCTCCGCCCGTGATCTGGTCCAGGAGGTCGTCCACCATCTTCTTGCTGTAGCTCCCGGCATCTTTCACGAACTCCTGCAGGCTGGAGGGGACCACAGGACAGGTCACGCTGGGGCACCCATGTGCCCTGGTGCCACGACGCAGAGGCCTGTGTCAGCGAGCCTCCTCAGACACTCCTCCGTGCCCCTTCCAGCTTTGGCATTTTGGGGGCTGTGAACTGACAGTTTTCACTATATTTTCAAAGTGGACCGTGACCCCAAAAGGCTAAAAAGATCTCCAGGAAAAATAATTAAAAAAAAAACAACAGGGCGAGAGCAGTGAACACATGCACACACTGTAACACAACACACACGTTGTGACATGCAGAAATACAACAGATGCCGGACTGGCTTTAGTCAAAGGAAGCTGTTCACAGCCTCCTGCTAGTTCTGGCTGAAGAACACAAGTGGGTCATGGAGGGTTGCCATGGTGAGCGGCCATGCACAGTGGGCAGAGCACAGCTGGGCTGAGACTCCCACCGCACACCCTTCACCATCACCTCGATCTGGGCCATGGGAGTCACTAACAGAGAAATAAAATGAACAAAATCCTAAAAGCAAGCAGGGAACAAAAACTGCAGTCCTAGAATCAAAGCACCACGCCAGCGCCTCAGAAGGGCTCCCGGACTTCAGACCTCCAAAAAAGAAACATGGAGGCGGCTGTCCGGTAGCTGGGCCTTGGCGACAGCATGCAGTGACAGGAACAAGTGCCTTCACGGGAAACAGCCACAGCCTGTGACTGTGGCTGGCCACGACGACCTCACTGACCCTGGTGTGCGGAAGTGCCCCAGGACACAGCGTCTGCGGCCCTCTTGTGTGCTGTCTCCTGCAGCCAGCGGCAGGTACAATCGCTGCAATCTTGGCTGGGCAGCAACGTGGGACGTGTGCATTGTGGGAGCAGCTGCTTGGGGAAGGCAGGTGGGATGCCAGCAGTCTGATGACTGCATCACCTGAACAGGTGATGGCATCCTTGCAGAGCTGAGAACTACCACAGGGTACCAGGAAAGGAACTGAGGCCTCCGGGCCCAGCCTGGGGGGAGGCTCTGTGGTGGGCAGTGTGGGGTGACTAGCCCTGTAACTGGTGAGTCATGACACAACCCTCTCCAGTGAGGATTCTTGTTTATTCTGCAAATATATTCTGTGTTCATTTAAAAATAAAATGAAGATTTGATATGTAAAAATTCCATTTCTTAGGGGTTAGCAAAATTACTTCTCCCATAAAAAATTACTAAAATTCTACAAGTGTGGCTCACTTTTTATTTTGCCATAGAAAACTACAGAAAATATGCACAAAAAAGTTCTAGGGAAATTAATTACTACATTTGTGATTTTAATATTCTATTATAGCTTCTGTTCTGGGCTGGACCGTGTCTCCCTAAAAAGTTTACAACTTTAAGTCCAGACCCAGCACCCCAGGATGTGACTGAACTTGGAGTCAGGTAAACTGAGGTCATGAGGGTGGGCCCTGCGCCCATCTGACTGGTGTCCTTACAAGAGGAGACGAGGACACAGACACACATAGAGAGCCCACGTGAGGACACAGGGAGGAGACGGTGTCTAAACACTGAGGAGAGACGCCTGAGGACAAACTAGCCCTGCCCACAGCTTAAGCTCAGACTTCCAGGCTCCAGAACCGTGGGAGAGTAAGTTTCTGTTTCCAAGCCACCCAGTGTGTGACAGACACCTCGTTACTGCGGCCTGAGGAAACCAATGCAGCCACTAAGAAACACATGTCAACACGGTCACGAAGCAAAACTCCTACTGAACATGCACAGCTGGCTAAACACTCTCTTTACCGGCCCATGGCAGAGCAGAGTGGGCTGCTAGAAACAGATTTCTGCTGCCGTCTGGACCTGCTGCCAGGGCTGGGCCTGCGTGTCCACAGGCAGCGCCCTGAACCCCTCCCAGGACGCAGCTGGTGCCGCCCTGCAGGTGAGGGCTCCTGTGCACGGCCAGCGCTCACCTCAGCGCACACTGCACGCCCGTCTCGTCCCCGTAGGCCGAATACAGCAGCTCCGTCTCATCCGACTTCAAGTCGCCAAACACTGAGTTGTTCTGCGTCGAGAGTGCGGTGCTGGCGCTGGAGAGAAACGTGACTGGGGACAATGGGGACAGGAGGGACGTCAGGCTCATGAAAGGACGCTGAGCACAGGCCCCTCTCCACCGTGCCCACGGCTGAATGACCGCACTGGCCGCCATCCTGGTCACTCCTGCCTCCTCTCTGACCTTCCTGCTACCAAGCACAGTCGGTTTTCTGCGTGTGACCAGCCAAACGCAGTCCCAGGCCCTGGCTGACCCTCTGTGGGCGAGGGCCGCTGGGAAATGACTGAACTTTCTGCCAGGGAGGGGTTCTGTGGGCGCCAGAGCTCCATGGTGCCTGGGTCAGCGATGCGGGCAGAGGGCACCGGCTCACCAGCTCACAGGAAGCCAACCCACAGGCACTGCCGAGACTGGACTGTGCGTGGCCGGGCTGGCACCTGCTGAGGGGGCCTGAAGGGAGACCGACTGTGTCAGCATGGGGCCTCTCAGCCCTCGCATGGCCAGGCCCTTCCTGCTGTCTCCCGCAGGGAGCTGGTGGCATCCCCGGCCTATCCTGCTGGACGCCAGCACCCATCCCTATGTGACAACCAGAATGTCTCCAGACATTGCCCAGCGTCCGCTGTGCAGAGAACCCTGCAGCTGAGAACTGGGGGACTGTGGCAGGGGAGAGGACAAGCGCTGCCCCCAAAGCAAAGCGTGAGAGAAACCACGGCAGCGAAGGAGGGTCTGGGGTGGGGGTGAGGCTGGTGCAGGTGAGGGGACCGACCACCTGATAGGGAGCCTTCACAGAAGGCCCCAGTGCAGGGAGAATTTTTAACACCCAGAGCAGGAGAAAAGAACACTCCAGAAAGAAGGAAGCCCTTGAGCCAAGGCTATAGTTTGGAGGGCACGGCGAGCTGTCTTGTTGGTGGGAGATGGTGTGGGCAGCGGTGAGACGGGGAGGGCAGGAGCAGGGTCTATGCAGCAGTCTGGGTGGGGGGACCTGCACTGCCCCTCCAGAGAGCACCCTGGCACGGCAGAGACGGAGCCTGGGGTGTCAGGGGCTCCAGCAGCAATGCAGACAGACACAATGACAGAGATGGGAGGAAGGGACCTGACGGGACAGAGCCAGGGCCCAGGGGGGGGATCACAGGTGCTAACCCTCAGAGGCCGGTCCTGCAAATGCAGCAGAGACAGAAAGCGCAAGGATGCGGGACACCAACCAAGGCTAAACTCAGGTGATGTGAACCAAGGTGCTCACTGGACATTTTTAAAACAAAGACACCAACTCAATATAATTTCCATGCCTGTCACTTTAACTGATCCTAACTTTATTAGGGTTATAATATGGATCCAGACACACTAATAAAAGCTCACAAAGAAAACCTTATAGTAAGAGGGGCGCTACTCCACTAAATCCCTGCCCTCCCCGAGCTGCTGCTGGCAACGTGGATGGGCCGCATGTTTACCTTTGTTTCTTCTCTCGTCTTTGAAGCCCAGCGTGGTGAAGGCGGGCAGCAGCTTGCTGGACAGCGAGCTCAGGTCCACGGGGTGGGTCTCCTCTTCTGCAACAAGGACATGGAGACTGTGAGCCGTAAGCACTTTCTCCACGCCGCGGCAGATCCGCTAGGCAGGGGGTGGGGTGCAGGGGCACAGGCAGGGACTCTACAACCACCACCAAACAATGAATTTACAAAAGCCAGCTACCATTCTCAAAAATAACTGTATTTCAGGTTCATGATTGCCCCAAAGCCAACATCATGAAAAACTTCTCATCTGCCCACCACACCAGCAATACTTCTAGCATTTTCCAGTTGCTCACCCAGCACCCCCAGAAGCATCTCGCCCTCCACATCCACAGCACACACGTGGAGCCTGCGCTGTGTCTCGCCCTGACCGTGCTGCAGAAACTAGTCACTCACATACCACTCTCGAGATCTGAGCAGGGATCCCTCAATTCGAACCTCAAGTCAGCTCTCTTTCTGAGCTGAGTAATGAGCAACTCATCTACTCTCTTCAGGAAAATGAGCTACGGATGGAAGAAATCAGCACACGCTGGGGCACTTCCAGGCACCGAGGCTGCCCCACACGTGTGTGGACGAGACCAAGGAAAAGTGGGAACGTCCAAGGCCCCCCTCGAGGGGCTTCCCCGTCCTCACGGTGCCCCCCGTGCATTTCAAATCCACATGAGATGTACTTTCCTTCAAAGGACAAGCCTCTGAACTACTCCCAAAGAGATGGAAAAGTGTTAAACTACTACTTCAAGACCACGAAAACGCCCATATTGGGCTGGGTGGACCCAGTATTCATGTCCCCCTTCAACGTCTTCCTTCATGCAGTCATCAAGCCGACCTCTTCTCCCACAACCACTTTCAAGCTTCAGAGAACAGAAGTTGTTCAGCACTCTGGTTTTTGGCGAAGACTGAACTTGGGTCATAGACCTTTCATGACACTAGCCAAGTTCAGCCTTAAGGACCTCCCAGCAGCTCGCTAGGCGTGCTGCCCAAGTCCTGCCGCTCTCCCAGGAGCCCTGTGGGACCACCGCCCATGCCTCGCTTGGGTCGGCACTGTGTCGCATGGGAGGGTACAGGGACGCAGGCCTGACAGCTTCCTTGCTGCCCCTGGGCCCACGTACGGTATCTCAACACAGAAGAGGTTCCCTGCAACCCTGAGCATGGACACAGGTCAGAGGATGGCATGCAGGTGGCAGGTAGCTGGCCCTGCACAGGCACCCACCGTCGGCGTCCGGCTCGGCTGTGTTGACCACGCTGTAGAGCAGGCTGCCGTCCCCGCTCCTCTTCAGGTAGCCCACCTAGAAGGGAGCACTGCCTCAGAGTCTGTCCCTCAGCACCAGCACGTGGGCCCACAGCTTTCCACTGCGGCACAGGTGAAATGCAGGCCGCCAGCAGGGCTCAGCGTGGGGAACCCCTGAAGGCCACAGGTGAGGAGCTCTCCATGAGCAAACGACACAGAGGCCCTCGCACGCTGGTCCCTGGAATTTAAGACTAACCTGCAAACAACAAAGCGCACACGTGTGCAATGAAAGGACTTCTTAGGGTCCTCGTGGTCCCTTAAAGGGGGTGCTGTTGAAACAAAACCTTGTACCAGGAAGCAACATTTAAAATTGTTCATAAGCCTGAACAAGAAGAGATGGAGCAAATCAGCTGCTCAACAGGCATGGGACTGCCCTCGCGGCACAGGGTAACCCACCGCCCCACCCCGTCCACAGCCACCAGGTCTGGGAAGAGGTGGCACCTGCTGGTGGGGGCTGTCGTTCGGGGTGTGGCCGGGCCAGAGTGTTTGTGCAGGAATAGCAACCCAGGAGTGTCAGAGCCCAGACAGGTGAGTGGGGCACGGGTGAGGGAGGACAGGTGGCAGATCAGCTACCCAGGGCATCAATCCGATAAACATGTGAAGGATAATAGAAGTTGGCTTCTCACGGCAGTTACAAAACTGAAAGGGAGAAAAGTGAAGCGGCCCCCATGGTGCTGTGTGGATTCGGAGGTTTCACTGTAAAAACAATGGTTTTTGGTCCATGTAAACTCGGTGTCAACAGACCTCTCCCATAAGCGGTGGGCACGTCTGTGCTGCACCCACATGCACACGCATTGCCCAGCTCTATCTGCTGAGAGGGCTTTGCCCAGCATCCAAGTCCTGGCCTCTAAACAAGGTTCTCCAGGAAAGGGACCTGGGCTCCCCAGAGGCACGGCCTCCCCTAGGCTGCACACCCACGCCATCCAAATGATCGACCCTGAAGCCATGCTGGCATTTTCAAACTTTCTAACAGGCATGTTAAAAAAAGCAAACCGAAGCAGGCAAAGTAACCTTAATATAGTTTATATAACCTGACATATGAAAAATATTATCATTCAACATTTTTTTTTTTGAGACAGAGTCTTGCTTTGTTGCCCAGGCTAGAGTGAGTGCCGTGGCATCAGCCTAGCTCACAGCAACCTCAAATTCCTGGGCTCAAGCAATCCTCCTGCCTCAGCCTCCTGAGTAGCTGGGACTACAGGCATGTGCTACCATCCCCGGCTAAGTTTTTCTATATATATCAATTGGCCAATTAATTTCTTTCTATTTATGGTAGAGATGGGGTCTCGCTCTTGCTTAGGCTGGTTTCAAACTCCTGAACTCAAGCAATCCGCCCACCTCGGCCTCCCAGAGTGCTAGGATTACAGGCGTGAGCCACCACGCCCAGCCTCATTCAACATTTTTTACTTACAAAGCAGTGTGCATTTTGAAAACTTAATATGAAACACAGTAAGTTCTAGTTAAGTTTGTGTACAGATTACGTGTTGAAACAGTAAGATTTTGGATATATCAGGTCAAATAAAACATTAGGGCTTGTGTCACCTGCATCCCTCTACTTTTGTTAATGTTGCCACCAGAAAGCTTAAAATTGCGAACATGACCCATGTTCTATTTCCGTCAGAAATGCCTGGGTCTGGAATACGTGACAGAAAGGAGGTGGTGCTCAGGGGATAGCAGAGTCTGATTCATGGACAGAGGGGTCAGCTGGACTGCTCCCCCCGCCACACCTGGCACAGTGTGCACCGCAGCCACAGGACAGTAGCTGTGGCCTGCTGGACCCAAGCCCAAGCCCCGAGTGACTGAGGGGCTCTCAGAGGCCTGAGCCTTACAAAAACACGTACGAGCGACACTCACTGCGGAGGGAAAGGAGTGACCTGGAGTGGAGAAGCCAGCGGGCAGGGCCTCCACCAGGACGCGCGCAAGGATGCTGCACGCCACACCACTCGGCAGGCCCTGCCAGCGAAGCACCCAGACTCTGCTGAGCAAACGGCCGCAGGCCAGAGGAGCCCTCCCACAAAGGACCACGAGCACGCATGTGCTTCTGACCTGGACCCCACAATGTCCCAGTGCTAACGTCCCAACCGGTGGCTGAGCAAGGGTGCGCCCCCCACCTGGAAGGAAACACACACCCAGCGCCTGGGCCAAGCAGCCCTCTTGGGAACCCCGAACACTACCTTGCCGCCCGGGAGGAACCGGTTGATCCTGTCCCGCGCCTCGTCAGCTGCGTGCTCCACCAGCGCCAACACGTGCTCCTCTGCGGTGCTGTCGGTCAGGCTGCAGGCATTGCCTTCAGGCTCAAACACGCAGCTGCAAGGCAGGCGGGGACACCTGTCACAGGAGACTGTCCCTGCCACACCCCACCCCGCTAGTCGGAACACAACTCATGTCTGCCCATGCTCCCCAGACCCTGGAGCACACGTGGACTCCTGATGCCCACCACGCTCCTCTGTCCTACCACAACAAGATGCTCTGATTAGAAGGAAGAGCCAGTGTAGGCCGAGGAGACGCTCTGTGTTTCTCACGACTCGGTTAAACGCTTCTGTCACTTTAACAGCAATAATAGCAGCGAAAACTGACAGAAGCCACAGGGGTTAGTCATTAAAGGCACCACTAGGCCTGGCGCGGTGGCTCATGCCTGTAATCCTAGCACTCTGGGAGGCCGAGGCGGGCGGATTGCTTGAGTTCAGGAGTTTGAAACCAGCCTGAGCAAGAGTGAGACCCCGTCTCTCCTATAAATGGAAAGAAATTAATTGGCCAACTAAAAATTATATACAAATTATGGCATGATGGCGGCATGCCTGTAGTCCCAGCTACTCGGGAGGCTGAGGCAGGAGGATTGCTTGAGCCCAGGAGTTTGAGGTTGCTGTGAGCTAGGCTGACGCCACGGCACTCACTCTAGCCTGGGCAACAAAGCGAGATTCTGTCTCAAAAAAAAAAAAAAAAAGGCACCACTAGAAAAAGTGACCCAGTTTCCCTCAGGGGCTGAGCAGCACTGGCCGCAGGGCCAAGCAGAGTGGGCCGAGCGAGGCTGGTGCTGGCGCAGCAGGGCGGGCACTGCTGGGCTGGGTGTGGAGCTGCTGCCCCGGGAGCAGCCCAGGGAATGTGCCAAGACTCCAGCAGGCGGCCTGGGTTCCCCATGAAGTTCTCTAAATTCCAAACATCTGAGAGGCTTAGGGCACAACACCCATGAAGGCAGCCTGTCCTCCTGTGGAAGCTTCTAGAAATAGGTGGGTGGGTCCCTCCCTGGGTGGGTCCCTCCCTGCACACGTGGCCGGATCCAAATGCTGAAAGGACAGCTTCGGGCTTGGGACAAGCCCTGCCAGTGAGAACACCCTGTATGTGTCCCTGACGTGCAGTGGCAAGAGCACAGCGGCGCTCAGGCGTGGCCGATGGCACATGACCACATGCAACGCTGGAGATGTATCTCAGCTCATAGCTCTGCGAACCACAGCACAGACGGGGACCTGGAACTCAGAAGAGATACTGTCACTGTAACTTTGCCACTTGACCCCACAGACGAAGGGTGGGCTCCCAGCACCAGGACCACCCAAATCCCGGCCACAGGCCAGCAATACTCTCTCGAGTCAGGGGACTGAGGGGACCAGGCACAGCCATGAGCCAATGATGTACAAATGTTCACATGGTAGAGGGGTGGGAACCTCGTTAGGCCACTGTCAGCTGCTTCTGTGTCATACACACAGGTCTCATGGGCACCCTCTGTCCCTTCAACCTCAAACATACCGAGGCCTAAGGACCCGAGGGCTGGTCTGTGGTCTGAGGGAGGTACCTAGAGCAGACGCTGAGCCACCAGCACTGCGCCTCTGCTGCCCCTCTGTTCCCCAGGAGAGCCCACACACACCATCAACAGGCAGGGCTGCAAACTAGACACACTTTTGGGAAATAACAATGGAAGGCCCTGACTTATTAGAATTTCCTCAAAGATATTAAAACCAAACGTGGGGTCTGGCATGGTGCCACACACCTCTGATCCCAGCTACCCAGGAGGCTGAGGCAGGAGGATCACTTGAGCCCAGGGGTTGGTGGCTGCAGTGAGCTGTGATGACACCACTGTATTCCAGCCTTATGGCAGAGTAAGACCATATCTCCAAAAAACAAACAAAACCAGTGCAGATGGTCCCTGACTCACAATAATTTGACTTTTGATTTTTCAGCTTTACTACGGTTCCAAAAATGATGCACATTCGGCAGAAACCGTACTTGGTGTGACACTCTGAGGGTGGGCGGCAGCAATGACCACAGCTCCACAGCCACACGATCTTAAGGGTAAACAACCAACACACAATTCTATAATGCTACTACGTATTCGAAGATCTACACGAGACGAGACGCGAGATACCACTACAAAGACTGGCTTTGCGTTAGATGATTCTGCCCAACCGCAGGCTATGGAAGGGCTCTGAGCACGTTTAAGGTAAGGTAGGCTAAGCTCTGACATTCTGGAAGTTAGGTGGACTTAAGGAGATTTTGACAGACATTTTCAACTTACGATGGGTTTATCGGTACACAGCCCAACCTTAACCTTAAGATGGGAGCATTCGTACTAATGACTGTGACTTCAATGCTCTACCACCAAAGGGCAGCACAAGAACCCCTGTGGGTTTGGGATATAGGAGGGTTCCCTCAAGGACCACCCCTATCAGCTGCTACCTGTGGAGGGAGCAGAGCCCTGGAGAGCTGGTGCTCCTGCCTGCCCGGCAGCTCCCACACCTGCCAGCCTGCAGGCCCCTCCCTAGGCGCACATCTGCACAGCTGTGGAAGGAGCTCAGGAAGTGTGGGCCGTCTGGAGGCAAGAGAGCAGGCCTAGCATGCCGGCTGCCCAAAGTGGGCCCAGCGACATCTCAGGTACTTCGGGACAGGCATAGCCCAGGCTGCCAGCAGGCATCATGCGTGGCAGGGGACTTCGTGGGAGGGAAGGGCCAATAGACGTCAACAAACAGCCAGCAGCAGACACAGGCAGAGCCAGCCGGACAGGCCGTGCCACACTGGGGTCTGACAGCACACGCGGTGGGCGGGCAGGAGGGGCTGCTATCAGTGGAACAAGTTGTTTTGATGGTTGCAGGACGCAACAGCATGGGTGAGGATGGTGACATCACCCAGACAGCTCAGCTGCCTCACTCTCACGTGGGCAGGGAGGGACAGCTGCTTCCCTCTGCAATGCGGGGTCTAGGAAAGCGTTTGTTCCACCCAAAGGTTGCCTGGTCCGCACCTGGTGCTTCATGAGACTGGTCCAGGACACAGACCTCGTAACTCTAGCAGACCGCACTCCTCCGGCTGGACAAGCTACTCTGGGAAGTCCACACGACAGCTCCCCCACTCTCACCCTTAAAGCACCTGCCTTCCTGATCATGGCTGCTCAACTCCAACAGGCCAACACAGCTCCCACAGAGCCTTTACCTGATAACTTCTCTACTCGGCTTTTTGGATTTCTTGGCAGTTTCTACTTGTACTGGCACAACCTCAGGAACAGGTTCCTCAACAGCTGTATCTTCATTGCCCAAAAGAGCAGCCTGCTGAGAAAAATCCATGTCCTGCATAAACGACATGCTGCGCTTCAAAGCTAACAGCCGCTCCTAGAATCAGAAAGGACAGAGCAGCAGGGACTTTACCTCTCCCTCACAGCCAAGGCACCATGACGATGGGATGGGATGGGGATGGCCACGCCTCACCTGGCCTGACCACTAACTCTCCACGGTAGCGCAGCAGAAGTGGTCGTGGGGGCTCGGCTCAGAGCCGCCAGAGGGGAGCAGGCCAGAGCACGGCAGTTGCCGCACCCCCCTGCATGTGGCCCATGCAGCCTGGCTCAGGGCATGGGTCTGGGAAGCCCTCGGGATGGCAAAGGAGAACTGGAATATCCCATCTGGACCCACTGAGGCAGCTGTGCAAGCAAGCCTGCAAGGCTGGCTGCAACCCAGCAAGATGGACACCCAGGCTCAGGATCAACAGATCCGGAACTTTCTGGCAACCCTAAATGAGATGTTACAGCTAGGTCATGAGCAAGTGCAGGAAGGGGGCAGGCCTGGAGAGAGTGGCCAGGGACATCTACCCTAGAGCAGAGGGTCAACACCATGATGGTGACAGGTGGATGGAGCATGGAAGTCACGGTGAGTTTCCGTTTGGGTGTACAAGATGCAGAACAGAGCTCTGGTTTTCCTTGGCTCAGTGTAGTCGTTAGGTTTCTTACTTTGCTCATCATCTTGAAGCCGGCATGGAGGATCTTCTTAGCCAGCTTGTAGTACACAGTGTCTGGTCTGTTGTAGGTCATCGCGTTGTCACACATCAGCTTGAAATCTGCCTGGAAAGAAAGAAGAAAAGGATTCATCAAGTCTGCAATGCCACACAGACAACAGCAGAGTTCTCCGTTCCTGTCAAAAGAAGTCAAACGCAAAAGACTCATACTGATTGGAAAACAATTAAACTTGCCTCTCTCATCTAAAAAATAATTTTTAAGAACTCAGAAATTCTCATAGTTGCTCAATGGTCAATACTGGCATGAAAAACTTTCCACTGAAGAGTTGGCCAACATCTGTAACTTCTTTTGAGCATCACAAACACATCTTGTAAGAGGGAAAACAAGGGTTTCCTGTGCTTCCCTTTCTTCTCTAGCCCTCCTCCCTCTCTTTAGGAGGAAGTTGGAGATAAATGGGAATAAGCAACAACAATCCAATTCTTTTCAGTAAAAGCCAAGGGATGATGTTGAGGGTGGGGCACGATAATATCTTCCATCTCTCCGTTTTCCACAGCACTGAATTTAAAACCTTATCGAAACATAGTGCCCTGGAATTACTAGGGAAAGACTTTAACCCAAATAAGGAGGGCATTACCGAATAACTTACAGTAAGAGCGAATCATTCAGTACTTTGTTTCCGTACCCCATCTCCTCAGCACATGCCCCTGGCAGGTGAGGTGTGACATCAGGCAGGACACTGACCAGGATGCCAGCTGCCCTAGCCGACAGCGCCACCTGGGCCCTCACACGCCACACTGCACTCACGGCCAGCTGTGCAGTGTCCCCGTGCCCCTCACGTGTGCCAAACACTCTTGCCGAGGACCTACAGCTGTCCGCCCCCAGCCTCCCCTCGATTCTCTGGTGAGTTTCCTATTCTCCCTCTCTCCTTTCAGTCTGTCGCACCGTGCTTCTGTGAGTTGGCAACCCTTCAGTGATGTCTCCAGTACGTAGAAACAGAAAATAGAAAAGTCCAGCTTTCCCAAAGTTAATGGAACCTAAAAAAGAAACCTAATGCCTTTTTCTAAATAACATTAATGCCAAAGTTATCAAACATCCATTTGGGCTTTCTTCCATGATTTCAAAACCAATAAGCAATCTCTAACTCTCATAGCTAGTACCAAGAAAAAGAGTTAAGAGCAAAGTACTCAAGAGATAAAAATTTATTATCCTATAAAAATTAACACCCAATTATTACAAGAAAAAAACAAGAACTAGGAAAATTATGTTTCTAAAAATATCCATTGTCAAGCCAAGCCAAACTGGACATAGCATTGCTAGAACCCACATGTCCTGTCTGTGCCAGCACAGTAGCTTAAAAAACAAAAACAAAGAAAAAAAAGAAACATATTCCTAACAGCACATGCTCCCCAGACCTGGAGCACACGTGGACTCCTGATGCCCACCACGCTCCTCTGTCCTAAACCACAACAAGATGCTCTGATTAGAAGGAAGAGCCAGTGTAGCCGAGGAGACGCTCTGTGTTTCTCACGACTCGGTTAAACGCTTCTGTCACTTTAACAGCAATAACAGCAGCGAAAACTGACAGAAGCCACAGGGGTTAGTCATTAAAGGCACCACTAGCCCGGCGCGGTGGCTCATGCCTGTAATCCTAGCACTCTGGGAGCCGAGGCGGCGGATTGCTTGAGTTCAGGAGTTTGAAACCAGCCGGAGCAAGAGTGAGACCCCGTCTCTACTATAAATGGAAAGAAATTAATTGGCCAACTAAAAATATATACAAAAAATTAGCTGGGCATGATGGCGCATGCCTGTAGTCCCAGCTACTCGGGAGGCTGAGGCAGGAGGATTGCTTGAGCCCAGGAGTTTGAGGTTGCTGTGAGCTAGGCTGACGCCACGGCACTCACTCTAGCCTGGGCAACAAAGCGAGATTCTGTCTCAAAAAAAAAAAAAAAAAGGCACCACTAGAAAAAGTGACCCAGTTTCCCTTGGGGGCTGAGCAGCGCTGGCCGCAGGGCCAAGCAGAGTGGGCCGAGCGAGGCTGGTGCTGGCGCAGCAGGGCGGGCACTGCTGGGCTGGGTGTGGAGCTGCTGCCCCGGGAGCAGCCCAGGGAATGTGCCAAGACTCCACAGGCGCCTGGGTTCCCCATGAAGTTCTCTAAATTCCAAACATCTGAGAGGCTTAGGGCACAACACCCATGAAGGCAGCCTGTCCTCCTGTGGAAGCTTCTAGAAATAGGTGGGTGGGTCCCTCCCTGCACACGTGGCCGGATCCAAATGCTGAAAGGACAGCTGCGGGCTTGGGACAAGCCCTGCCAGTGAGAACACCCTGTATGTGTCCCTGACGTGCAGTGGCAAGAGCACAGCGGCGCTCAGGCGTGCCAATGGCACACGACCACATGCAACCGCTGGAGATGTATCTCAGCCCATAGCTCTGCGAACCACAGCACAGACGGGGACCTGGAACTCAGAAGAGATACTGTCACTGTAACTTTGCCACTCGACCCACAGACGAAGGGTGGGCTCCCAGCACCAGGACCACAAATCCGGCACAGGCCAGCAATACTCTCTCGAGTCAGGGGACTGAGGGGACCAGCACAGCATGAGCCAATGATGTACAAATGTTCACATGGTAGAGGGGTGGAACCTCGTTAGGCCACTGTCAGCTGCTTCTGTGTCATACACACAGGTCTCATGGGCACCCTCGTCCTTCAATCCATCAACATACCGAGGCCTAAGGACCGAGGGCTGGTCTGTGGTCGGAGGGAGGTACTAGAGCAGACGCTGAGCCACCAGCACTGCCGCTCTGCTGCCCCTCTGTTCCCCAGGAGAGCCCACACACACATCAACAGGCAGGCTGCAAACTAGACACACTTTTGGGAAATAACAATGGAAGGCCTGACTTTTAGAATTTCTCACAAAGATATTAAAACCAAACGTGGGGTCTGCATGGTGCCACACACCTCTGATCCAGCTACAAGGAGGCTGAGGCAGAGGATCACTTGAGCCCAGGGGTTGGTGGCTGCAGTGAGCTGTGAGGCTCACTGTATCACCCTTACGACAGAGTAAGACCATATCTCCAAAAAACAAACAAACGTGAATGGTCCCTGACTCACAATAATTGGACTTTTGATTTTCAGGTTACTACGGTTCCAAAAATGATGCACATTCGGCAGAAACCGCACTTGGTGTGACACTCTGAGGTGGGCGGCAGCAATGACCACAGCTCCACAGCCACACGATCTAAGGGTAAACAACCAACACAGATTCTATATATGCTACTACGTATTCGAAGATCTACACGAGACGAGACGCGAGATACCACTACAAAGACTGGCTTTGCGTTAGATGTATTCTGCCCAACGCAGGCTATGGAAGGGCTCTGAGCACGTTTAAGGTAAGGTAGGCTAAGCTCTGACATTCTCGGAAGTTAGGTGACTTAAGGAGATTTTGACAGACATTTTCAACTTACGATGGGTTTATCGGTACACAGCCCAACCTTAACCTTAAGATGGGAGCATTCGTACTATGACTGTGACTTCAATGCTTACCACCAAAGGGCGCACAAGAACCCTGTGGGTTTGGGAATGGGAGGTTCCCTCAAGGACCACCCCTATCAGCTGCTACCTGGTGGAGGAGCAGAGCCCTGGAGAGCTGGTGCTCCTGCCTGCCCGGCAGCTCCACACCTGCCAGCCTGCAGGCCCCTCCTAGCGCACATCTGCACAGCTGTGGAAGGAGCATCAGGAAAGTGTGGGCCGTCTGGAGGCAAGGAGAGCAGGCCTAGCATGCCGGCTGCCAAAGTGGCCAGCGAATCTCAGTACTTCGGACAGCATAGCCCAGGCTGCCAGCAGGCATCATGCGTGGCAGGGACTTCGTGGAGGAAGGGCCAATAGACGATCAACAAAACAGCCAGCAGCAGACACAGGCAGAGCCAGCCGCACCGTGCCACACTGGGGTCTGACAGCACACGCGGTGGGCGGCAGGAGGGGCTGCTATAGTGGAACAAGTTGTTTTGATGGTTGCGGACGCAACAGCATGGGTGAGAATGGTGACATCACCCAGACAGTCAGTGTCACTCTAGTGGGCAGGGAGGGAACACGCTTGCCTTAGTTCTAGTTAAGTTTGTGTACAGATTACGTGTTGAAACAGTAAGATTTTGGATATATCAGGTCAAATAAAACATTAGGGCTTGTGTCACCTGCATCCCTCTACTTTTGTTAATGTTGCCACCAGAAAGCTTAAAATTGCGAACATGACCCATGTTCTATTTCCGTCAGAAGTGCCTGGTCTGGAACCTATAGTGACAAAAAGGAGGTGGTGCTCAGGGGATAGCAGAGTCTGATTCATGGACAGAGGGGTCAGCTGGACTGGCTCCCCCCGCCACACCTGGCACAGGTGGTGCACCGCAGCCACAGGACAGTAGCTGTGGCCTGCTGGACCCAAGCCCAAGCCCCGAGTGACTGAGGGGCTCTCAGAGGCCTGAGCCTTACAAAAACACGTACGAGCGACACTCACTGCGGAGGGAAAGGAGTGACCTGGAGTGGAGAAGCCAGCGGGCAGGGCCTCCACCAGGACGCCGCAAGGATGCTGCACGCCACACCACTTCGGCAGGGCCCTGCCAGTGAAGCACCCAGACTCTGCTGAGCAAACGCGGCCGCAGGCCAGAGGAGCCCCTCCCACAAAGGGACCACGAGCAGCGTGTGCTTCTGACCTGGACCCCACAATGTCCCAGTGCTAACGTCCCAACCCGGTGGCTGAGCCAGGGTGCGCCCCCCCACCTGGAAGGAAACACACACCCAGCGCCTGGGCCAAGCAGCCCCTCTTGGGAACCCCTGGAACACTACCTTGCCGCCCGGGAGGAACCGGTTGATCCTGTCCCGCGCCTCGTCAGCTGCGTGCTCCACCAGCGCCAACACGTGCTCCTCTGCGGTGCTGTCGGTCAGGCTGCAGGCATTGCCTTCAGGCTCAAACACGCAGCTGCAAGGCAGGCGGGGACACCTGTCACAGGAGACTGTCCCTGCCACACCCCACCCCGCTAGTCGGAACACAACTCATGTCTGCCCAGAACACTGCATTGAGGAAACGGCTTGATTGTAAACATTTGTCTGTATC